TAGCTGCTAATACCCACTGCAAGTATTTTTTAAAAATTGCTGAACATAGCCAATATTGTAGCCTGCCAGACTCTTGGAGAAATGTTCATCCCTAGCAGAGCTGGAGCAGAGCAGAGCAGTATGCAACACACAACATGGCTGACTCACAGCCTAGGCTGGGGTTGTACAAACCTCTGGTACAAGCAGTTCTGCTTACAGAAAAAATGAGTAACTGGCAATTTTAAAATGATGCTTGCAGCGCGTATTAGCGGCTAAAATTTTGACAGTGGATTTTGTTGTGTATACTCTTGCAGTGAAAAAAAAAATCATGGCAGGTTTTGACATGTCGGATCAGACCATTCCCTTGTTAGCTCAGTTAGTTAAGTGCCTCCTCAAATATCACTAAATTTGGTATAATTTTTTATATTTTTTATCCACTTTCCTAGAAATGCCTCTTTTGTAAATAAATCACTGGTTATACGCACTGTCATATTATTGAAGATAAGAAACATGAGTATGACACTGTGTGAGAATGTGAATTATATTTTCCATGTATGTTACTGAAGATTGAATCAAACAGTTTTCCAAATATGAGTTGTATCTGAGGCTTTGAAAGTAGGCTCTTCCGCTGGTTGCAGGTGAATTGAGGAAGACCACTTATACTACATTTCTAGTCTTGATGTGCAGTTTAATAAATAAATTATTATAATTAGTGAAATTCAAGAAGCAAATTGAAAAATATTACTTTTGTTCATGGATGGTAATATTTGACTGTTGAGTTTTTACATATCTCCTTCTACAAAAATGTTTGTATGAGGCATACTGTGAGACTCTTGGTTTTGTTATGCTGCTGGTAGATTAAACTGGTTTATTTAAAAGAAAGAATTTAAAGTTGTCCTTGTGCTTAACTAATTAAGCACTATGCCATGAAGGCATATGGGGGAGTGGGCGTATAGATCCACATTTTCTTGGCCTTGGCACTTGTTGGAGGTGAATGGTCAATTTCACACCCCTGCTGCTTTACACCCATGGAAAAAGCCCCTGCTACCCATTCGATAGGAGGCTGTGTGGGCCCCAGAGCCAGTCTGGACGGCATGGAGAAAAGAAAGATTAAACTACTAAGGACCAAAATTATGCGAGTATGCCCATGAAAACTTTGAGTGTAGACTCTGACACAAATATTTGTTGAAACCCATTCATTAGTTTTGAAAACGAAACTTGTAAATTAACAGACAAGCTCTCCCCCATAAATGTTACCAAATTAGAATTTACATTTGTTGAAATTATTAGAAACATGGAGTGTAGTAGACTGTGATCAGGTTGGCAACCTAGTATACTGTGGGAGGCAAGAATACTTTCAGAATTTTGGCGTGGAAACCTTTGGAAGACCAAGAAACAGAAGTAACAACATTAAGATGGAGCTCAAAGAAATTTCTTCTGAATGTGGAAGGTAAAGACAGGATTGGCTCAGGAGTTTGTCTGATGGTAGACTTTGGTATTAGCAGTGATGAACCTTCTAGTTTTGCTGCCAAAGATTGTTATCCAGAGGGAGTTCTGTGATTTGATCTGATCATTGTGTCACTTTTAGGTCGTGCAGAGCCTGTTTCAGTTCCTTGTGTTTCTAATATCTTATGGTACTTTTAATAGGAACTCCAATCTTGCCACCTTGTCTTGATTTCTTCAACATTGCAACAGTGCAAGAGACTCCTGATGAGGAACAAGGCTCATCTTTAGGTGAATGCAGTAGAGAGAGCACCCGTAACAGCAGAATTGCTTCGGCATCTGTGGGGAGCAACAAGCTGCAGAGATCTGCTGATAGAAGTGTTACTGAAGCATCAACAGTAAGTAGTAATATGGTTCCGAACACACAAAATTGTTAACAAGCTTTAAAACTACTCACCATTAATGTATAATTTAGGTTCCAAATGTGTAATTATGATGGAATGTATATATCACATGAACATGTTCTGCACATAATTCCATTTTGATGATAGAAGGTAAGTTCTAGAAATTACTCTCAGTACTTGTGTATCAAGTTTTATTTTTCTTCCTGTTGCCACCTACAAGCAATATTGTTATTCTGTGTGTGCATGTGGCGGGAAACATCCAGAGGCCAGTGAAAGTACTTTTTATTAATTCACAGCTGAATGTTGATAAAAATTACAGTCACTTTTGCTGGGGTTGTTTTGTAGGCCAAGGTACCTAGTGCTGGGAAACATACGCATAGGTGAATCATATTTTGAACATAAGAGTCAAAATATTTATGAAACTGTCTGGTCAGTTACACTGTTCACTTTTGTGTGGAGCCAATCAACACCATGAACCTTTACAATTTAAAAATTGTCATGAACTGTTAAATTCCCTATTTTATGTTCTGCAATTGAAGGGATACTCTCATATAGTTTTGAATTTCTTGAATCTGAAAGTCTGGGATTTTTCATGGGATTCAGATTAGTCATTCCAAAGGAAACATTAAATGCAAATTCCTGTGAGTGGCAGAATAAGGACACAAAGATTTTCTGCTGTATGTTAAAATATGTCATGACAGAAAAGCATCATTTTGTTATTTGATTCTAGGCTTCTGGTGTTATCAAGAAGATTTACAGATCAGAAGGTGATGGCAGGCGTAAGCCATCAACAGCTGTTCAAGCTTTGAGAAAAAAGTATCAAGAACAAAGGCTGGCCAAGCAGAGAGCTAGTACACTTAAGAAGTTGGCTCAGAAAGGTACAGCCTTTTTAGTTCACACTTTAATCATCTTCATGATTTGCATCCTGATGGTTCCATATGATTCCATTCTATATATATGCTTGTACATGATTCCTATTGACCATTCTCGATAATCACTGGTTTTTTTTTAATATATGCATTTATTGTACTTAACATATGATGTAAAAGAATCACTTTTACAAACTTACTTACTTACTTACTTAGTCATGGAGCTGAGCCCTTCTTGAGGAGCTGCCAATTCTGCAGCTACTCAAGAATTTCCCAGCATTTTATGGAACCCGAAGGTTCATCACCGTATTCACAAGAGCCCTCCACTGGTCCCTTTCCTGAGCCAGATCTATCCCATCCTATCTCTCTAAGATCCATTTTAATATTGTCCACCCGCCTACACCTTGGTCTTCCCTGTGGTCTCTTTCCTTCTGGTTTTCCCACCAATATCCTATATGCATTCCTCGTCTCCCCCATTCGTGCTACATTTGTACAAACACAAAACAAAATTCAATTCGTTGGCTGTAGTGCAAATTTAACACAAGAAAAGTGAAATCTAGGACTCTCCAACAATCTGGACATGTGTTTAGGTGAGCAGAGTCAAGCAACGCATAGAGAATGTTGGCATAAAAACCTATTGGAAGATACAGGAGGAAAGAGATTGATAGCATTAAGATGAATTTTAGGGTGACTGGTAGTGAGGTAGGGAGGTGAATGGAAGCTGCTCAGGATCATATCCAATGGTCGGCTTCAATGTCACGGGTGTTGAAACTTTAGGTTCTGCTACCACAGCATTGTTTAAAAAATTGTATCTAGGTACGTACCTGGCATATCTGTAGGTCATCTTAGAACAGTACTCGTATACAAAGAAATATTTCACCAGTAGTGCACTGAGATTTTGTTCAGACATGTTCTGTTATCTCATCAGCAATTACTGGTCCCCCCCCCCAAATTGGCTTCATATTTTTCACATGTTTAGGTGCCTGTGGACCAGATATTAATTAAATTTCATGTTAGGGGGTTTGATAAAATTTTTTGATGCTTTACAGTTTTCTGAATAGAAATTTCTCTGCAGTTTGTTGTGAAATATATATTTCATGGATGTACAAACAAATAAGTGTAAATGGTATAGTGATTTGTTGTAAAATACTCATTTTAGTTAAGGGGAAGAATATGGTGCGAACACGATCTTCGACACATAATGAGGAAATTCCACCAAGTATGAATACTAAACCATCAAGAGGAACTGTAGTGAAGAAGGCTGTAAGAAGTATGAATATTGTGCAGAGGAAAATCAAGTCTACAGCAAAACCTAGCCTGCTGACAAGGTAAGATTTGAGGAATACCGTAGAATGAGCATGTGTTACAATAAGAACTAAGTGTCCTGTTTTAAGAAATCAGGTTCTGTAAACTCCCTTTTATGTGCTATCAATTTAATAGTGTTAAGTATAGAAACATTCTTTAGTTACAACAAGAGCATTATTTCAAGATTTCCTTCTATGCTGTATAAAAGTCAGCTGTGTATTCCTAATGAAGTGGATTCTCATATTTTGTACTCTTTGATGCTTGGATCAAGTGAATCTATCAAATAGAAATATCACTGTGCCCCCTCATACATGCTTCCTTCTTCTAGAGAGCGTGGCTATTTCATCGTCATTTTACCAATCCTATGTTACATGCAGGAGCAGTATAATCTATTCTTCCTGTGGCATATGCAGTCTGAAGTCATAATATGAGATGCTGTGACTGTACAAATCTATGTAAGAATTGAATACAGAATTTAATGGTTCGATGGAGCCATGCATTCATTAAGAAAAATTGAAAGATCTGTTCTGAGCTAAGACCCCCAACTCCATAGAACAGAGTCCTCTTTGAAGAGCCAATTATTGCTCAACTAGTCAAGAAATTCCTTGCCTTGTATGGAACATGAAGGTTTATTATCATGTTCTCAAGAGTCTTTCACTGCTCGCTCTTGTGAGCCAAATGAACTAGGTCCCAAAACCCCCTGCTGTGGTGTAAAGGGACTCATTAATGTGTACATAGATACCAAGTCTATATGTATAATATAAATACTGTCGTAAATGCAACAATTTATTGTAGTTCTTTGTCTTTCTTCTTTCACACTGCATGTTTTGGCCATAACCGGCCATCATCAGGTGTATTTCACTTATACAGCTGTCACACTGCATGTAATTTAAAAACACCAGCTCTCTCAGTTGTCATTGCTGCATTTCAGTCAGTCCTGATATTCCAGAATCTCCTTGCTGATTTTGTCAGTTATGTTTAAAATCTCTGTTAATATAGACTCGTCGATTTAAATTTAAAATTTAAATCACAGGGATACCTACTCTATGTCTGCATGTGCTGCAGCGGCTACTTCTTGCTTTCAGCACCGTTCACATATTATTCTGTGCAGGTTCCCTGTGTGCGTGCCGCTGTTTATCTTTAATATGTAACATGTGACAGGTTCCAGTCCTGATGAGGTGGATTTTTTTTTATTTTATCTAAACCGTCCAGCCACTATGGCCCTGGGGTTGATTCAGCCTCTAACAGAAATGAGTACCATGAATCTTCCTGGGGGGTAAAGGGTGGCTGGCACATAAGGCTGACAATCTTACCGCCATCTGTGAGCCAATTGTCTAGAAAATGTGGGGGCGTCAACATCTCACAACCCCATGCGCCTTCACGCCGTGTTACAGGGATAGCTTTACCTTTACCTTATTAAATTTTCTCATGTCTGATTATAATCATTGTCACTGCTCCATCCCCTCCCCCAATACTTGATGAGGATTTTGGTGTAAACTGAAGAAATTGAGTTTACTGTTTAAAGTGATTACTTTTTCTCAAAGGATGCATACCCGAAAAAAGACAGTAATGAAGACTAGGACCAGCAAGTCAACAGTAAATTCCATGAGGAGGGATGGCCTCCGTAGTGGTGGCCAGTTGCCACCAGGCAGTGAAGCTGGCCTCAAGAGTGAAAGGGTTTTGAAACAACCAGAACAGCAGCAACAACCCCGATTCAAACCAGTTGCAAAAAAGAAAATAGGTAAGTTGTGACTGAGTATAATACTCCCTTTTGTAGTGGTTTGCATTTGTGGTAGTGTATTGCAATTGGCAGGAATTCCATCATTGTGTTAGATCAAAGCCAAATGAAAGGAAGACTTGAGATTATACTGACATAGTTAATCCAAGGCTTTTTTCTGCCTGTGACAAGTGAAAATATGTATATACAAATGTAATCATTGGTTGTAATTGTTTTCCATTAATCCTTGGTGTGCTCATGTTATAACTTCTAAAGTTGTATAAAGTTCAAAGTAAACTGTTTAAGCCAATTTTTACAACTAATTGTGATTATTTCAAAGCACAGTTATGATTTCACAATGCTTATTGGCTGACAGGTGAGAACAGCAGATCTTGATATTAGGCTCCTTCACATAATGTCTTTGTAATGTTTCAGAAAAATGTATGAGCAAAACATTTGCAAGTTCAGTATCTGACTTTTCATCTGATGATGACCAGCCATTAGCCAAAAAAATGAAAGTGAAACCTATTGAACGTGCATCTTCTAGTCGACAGCTTGCAAGGAAGGTCATCAAACGAATTGTATCTAAAAGGATGAAGCCAAGGATGATAACTAGATCACAGCAGCAACAGCAACAAGTCCCAGAGAAGGAACAAACAGAAACAAGGTAAGTCACATACCACAAGACTGACACCAAGGTGTCAAGGTGATGCAACTTTGCAGCTTTCTCATGCAGTGCAGCCTTAAATTTATAAGTTATGTAAACTTGCTTGTTCTAACAGATGGTTGTAATATATGAAAATGGCTGAAGTATTGGAAACACTATGGACTCTGTACACATTTCTTTATTAACATGGTGTACAACCACCTTTTGCCTTCATTACAGCAGCAATCCTTCTTGGAATGGACTCATGCAAGTTTTGAACAGTCTCTAGCAGAATTTTATAACCACTCTTCTTGAAGAACTTCTTCAAGTTGCTTTAGGGATGTTGGAGGTGGGAACCTACTCCTCACCCTAGTCTCCAAAACTGACCAGAGTGGTTCAGTGAAGTTCAAATTTGGTGATTATGCTGGCCAAGAAAGATGCTGAAGTTCACCTTCATGCTCTTCAAACCATGACTGAACAGTTCCAGCTGTGTGAATTAGGCATTGTCATCTTGGAAAAGTGCATCATTGTTCGGAAATAACATCTGGATCATGGAATGCACCTGATTACCCATCCTGTCCACGTACTCCCTTACAATAGTTCAGCAATAAATGGTAACAATGGGATCAACGGAATGCTGTACCATGATATTGCTCCCTAAACCTCCACAGAACCTCCCCTATGTTAACTGTTGGAACCAGGCATTCCGGATTGTAGGCTTCATTGTGTGTTCTCTCTTCCGAATATAGGGAACAGTGTGAAGGACAACTCTTCTGAACATATCACACACACATTTCCAATTGTCTGATGTCCAGGTTTTATGGTTCTGACACCATATTCTACACATCTGAGCATTACTTTCAGTAATCAGAGGTTCAGCAATTGTGAATGTTGGATTTGTGAAGTTCACATCAGGCAGTTTTTGTGGAAATGGTTTTCAAGTTGTATATTCAGTTCTGCTGCAGTTCACCTGTGCTACAATAGTTCTGTGATTTTTCAAAATAATTCTCAATATACAACGATCTCTTTCTGTCAGCGTTGATTTTCACCCGCTGTTCCTCTTTGCTGATGTTGTCTTCCCATCATTAGTGTATGCCAACATAACTTTAGAAACTTTCGCTCTTGATGCACCTAATAATGTGGCAGTTTTTATCACAGATGCTCTGGCTAAACACACACCAATGATCTGTCCTCTTTCAAAATCAGGCTTTTCTCCCATTTTAAAATTCTTTCACACATACTGTCACTCAACACAATCACTAATGCACTGGCTCAAGTACTACAGAATGTAAACATATGTAAGAACCTTCAGTGTTGCCAATGGAAATTCCTTCAGTGAAGCCAACACAAATTCTGTTCTCCAATTTCTTGGTGTTTCCATTGTTTTGTCCACCCCACATATATGGAATTAAGGTTTAGAGATGTAATGTGGATATGTCAGTAGTTATTCGTTTTTGAAGTAAGGATCATGGGAATATGAAAATAGTGCATATTTCAACATTTTGAGCACCTTCAGCAGTATCTGGGTTGAAGAGTCTGAAGATTTTCTCATCCTTGTGTAACCTGATATACTAATAGCGGACTGGTATTAGACACATGCAAGTCTTAATTTTTTTAGACTGAATTCATAAAAAAAAGTTCACAATTTTAATGTGAACATTAATTTTTAATTTTTGAACTTTGAGAATGATGGCTACTTTTGCTTTGCATATTGGAGTCATGACAGAAGGGACTAATATTGTGTTTGCCCAGGTAGAAGTCGGGTTCCACCCACCCCCCAGGGTTAAAAATCTACTACTCATCAACATAAATTTGAATGGTGTGTGCATGCATAAGAGAGAGATATATTTTTTATCCATTTTAAGCTTTAACTTGTTAGCACATTCCTGCAATTTCCATCACAGATAACTAATTCACCCTATCATGCTATGAGAGTATGAAGCAAGAAAGTGAAAAAACAGGGATATTCAAGTTCAAAAGCTACAAGTTGCCACAAGGTTTCCCGGGTTGTTGTGATTTTATTAGTCGATCACATCTTCACTGGACACTGAACACAAAGATGTTTGGCGTACAGTTTTTATCATAATCATGCGCATTTGTTATTTTATTTCAGAAACTGTCACACTGTAAGCTGCATAGTCATTACAGTTGTTAATAAAGTAAAAATTCCTGAATTCTGAATCGTTTAAAACCAAAATTAATGGCCCCATTATCATTAGGGTTGGAGCTCCGGTATTTTGATGATGTTTTTGATTATACTTCCCATTTCCATGTTGGTCATTGTTTGTGATTCTCTGTTGATTAATATCTAAAATATAATATTATTTTATTAATGTTCAGATTAATAAAATTGCACACAAGGACATGGCAGGAATGTTTCATAAAAAGAACAATCATAATACCTGAAGTTGTACATCCACATAGATATTTTTATCTTATACCCCATTTGTACAGAAGTGTGAGAAAATCTCTACTAAAGTAACGTATGTTGAGTGTGCACCATTAAGAATGTGTTCCAAGTTTCTCTGATTGTCTCACTGTGTAGCAGATTTCTGCTTGATTTACTGTCTCTAACTGACCCACGTTGCGTTACTTCTTTATCCGTTCCTCTTCCGTGCTGATATCACTTCTGCGACTACTCCACATTTTAGGATGATTCTCACCTTGCATGGCTACTGCTTCCCAATCTCTTGTTGGTTGTCATTCTGGTCCCCTTCCACACCCCGTTAGATAACAGGTAGGTATTTGGGAAGGTAGGGAGTGATTGTTGTGTGCCAGTAAGCATACATGAATAGCTTACAATTGAGGTAGGATTAGCTCAGGTGAGATGTCTTTGTCTGCTGGTCTACTTAGGGATTGGTAGAGCTGATATCTTGTCTGAAGGCATATTGGGCTGTGCTCTGGCAGGACAGGAAGAACTTATACTAATTACTTTGCACAAACAACATTTCAGTTTCACACAAGCTTTTATTTATTGTTTACTGTGTGTTTAATGCCAAATAATTTACTTCACTTGCTTGAATGGTTACTTATTAATTCTGTGTATCTCCTTGTATCACTCAGATTTCTAGTAACTTACTTTTACTAAATGAACTTTTATAAACATCAATGATTATACAAAAGTGACTATGATGCATGATGCAGTTTTGTGTCTGCAGGCTTCAGAATTCAGAAGACAACTCATTTGGTGCATGAGCTCTCTGGAGTAGCAAGCTTCTTTGAGGCCAGACTTCGAAGAGGCAGCTCCTTCCTGAAACAGGCCTTACGGGTCCCATTCAAACTTTGAGAGTTCACTAGAAATTTACATTTCCCAGTGATATTGACTTGCTGCGCTGTTCTATCTCTTAAAAACTCCATGGCACTTTGACAGCTTCTTGATATGTAATAAGCTTGGTGTGTGGCTTTGTTCCTTGAGTTAGCTTGCACTGTCAAATCTCAGATTTCCAAAAGACATGCCACCATAGCTCAAACAGCTAAAATTCTAGGAAGTGTAGTGAATGCTGCATCCTTTCCACACAGCAAGAACGAGCATATGTCATTTTTTGCATGAAAAATATTACTACTTACTCGTTATTATTTATAGCTTGTACTTAATTGTTCTTAATTAACATAATTTATAGTAACCTTTATTCTAGTGAACAGTTACAAATCCTAGATAGCAGACACTTGTCATACATAAATGTAACACACCTTTTTAGTTCTGCCTTGAAGGATGTGTTTGTTTGAGGTTGGTTTCTTTGATCCATTAAAATGAAAGATATAGTTTCATTATTGCAGGTTTTATTTAATGACACTATGCAGTACTTTCCAGAACTGGTTTGCTTTTGACATTACAGACTTTACACCAGGCCTTCTCGTAAAACAAAGGAAGCTGCAGCAATATATATGGAATTGCTAGGCAGGAAGCTTATCACACCAGAAGCAGAAGTAGATGAAGACTCACTGTCCATTGACAGTTTTCCAGAACTTCCCAATGCAAGACGATTTGGTAAGTTTGTGATGTTTTGGCTGTAATGTTTCATATATTAACTGTCTGGCAGTGGGGATGTTCAGTTTAAAATGTACTCCTGTGCCAGAGGATATTTAAATATTATACCTTCAAAATGCAGGAGTTTACCAAAATGGCCACATTCTAGGATACCATAAGCTAATTATTTACTGCTGTGAGAATCTCAGGTCTGACCCTCAGTTTGTGTTCTGCACCTTGGGTGAGAGGCCATATTTCACACCCCCATAAAACTATATATACAGTTATATATTAAATTCCTGCACCTATACTTATTTAACTAATTTTGAACAACCACTGCCTAAAGAAATTCTTTTTAATGCTTTCTGATATTTACATCTGAACGTTTTGAAGATGAAACTGTAAAGAGATACTTCAGCGTGACTTTAAAAGGAATTATGTTCATTACTAGCAGAAATGTATTATAGAAGGATAGATTACATGGAAAAGCAGAAGAAATATGTCACAGTTTGTACAAAATTTCATATTTGTCCCAAAAAATAATATTAAAAAGCAATTGGCAGCATTATTTTAGGTGGTGGCAGTTCTCTTGTCATGGTTGTTTTCCTCTTCTCACAGTGAGATGTTTTTGTCAATGTAAATTATGTAGATGTAGCGATAAATGGTAAGATGACTGCAAACATTGAAGTGGAAAAGTTATGGGAGGAAGCAGTTATGATGTGCATTAAATTACTGCCCTAGCTTTGGCTGTAGAAACTGAAGAACTGGGAAAGATGGAAAGATGATGGTCTTTAGTCCAAGATTTGAACATGATGCCTTGCAAGTATAAAACCAAATGGCTGACCACATAACTACAATATTTGGTAGTTCTTATGACCTGAGTTCATTAATGTGAGTTCATATGTATGTATTTTTGTTGCAGAACAACGAGAAAGTGAAATTAAGGCACGAGCATATGAAGAAAGAAAAGAAGCCCAGCAGCCAAAGGAGGATGCTAAAACAGTAGTACCTCATAAATCAAAAATAACAAGTGATACTGCTGTTAACAAACAGAAGCAAATTAAAATTGTAAAAGCCAAAAAACTGCCCATGAGGAATAGAAAACTACCTTTACAGAAACCAGCACTTTCAAAGAACACTGAAAGAGTTAAATCATTGCTGATACCAGATAATCCAAATAAAAAAGAATCTGTTAATATTAAAGAAAATGTGGTGAATAAAAAACAGGATGGAACAGGGCTGCAAGTGAGGCCAAGGAAAATATCTGCTAGACTACAGAGTGTTGATAATCAGTTTAATGAAGAAGGAGAAGCTGACAGTGATAAGATGAGGCCTCCATATGCTCCCCGTCGCAGTTTGAGAAGAGGCTCTCGTGAAGCAGCACAGGATTGCTGTGATACAATCCAGCAAGATATTCATGATGTGATTCATCAGGCTTCAAATTCAGAAAGTCCATCTGCAGGTACTGTACCATCCAAGCATCTGAGTAAGAAGATCAAGCCAGTACCATCCCAACCCTCTTCTTCTCCTCTCATAAGAGGCTTAAGAAAATGTTCCAGATCTCAAGAGAATACCATGGACGTTTCAGAAGAGACATTCAGCGATTCTGATGAAGAACCACTTGGGAAACTCTTTTTGAAGCATTCAGTTACAAAAAAGCTTAGTGATGAAATTAATGCTAGTAAAGACACCATAGCAGAAGAGAAGAGTGAAGCAGGAGGAGAAAGGGATGAAGTTATTAATAAAAAGGGTAGCAAAAATGAGAGTAAGGCTTTACTTTTGGTTTCTGATGATACAAAGAAGAAAAATGTGACTGTGAAAAATGAACAAGTTTTGAAAATTCCTATGTTCCCAGCACACAAGGGAAATGATAATAAGATACAACAGCCAGGTGAGGATATCTCAAAAATCAAAGTCATGGAGGTTGTGGAAGTTACTGACTCCAGGAATAAAGAATTATCAAAGAGAAAAAGTGAAGATGGTACTATCACACAGAACACAGAATCACTGCTTAGAAGGAGTGAGGACAATCTTATTACTAAAGGTAGAGAAGAACTACAATATGGAAAGAGTGAAGCTGTTAATTCCAGAAACAAAGAAAAACTGCTTAAGATAATCGATGATACTGCTAAGAAAGAAGAGATAATACAAAGGAAGAACAAAGAAATTTCTTGTACTAAGAACAGACAGTTGCAATTGAGAAAGAGTCATATTGCAAGAAATAAAGATATTTCAAACAGAAGGAATGAGGAAAGTGAAATTACTAAGTCTAATATAATGCCAAAAGAAAATTATAACGTTCTTCTTAAAAATAAGGAAATGTTTTATGAAAGTGGTGGAGAGGATGCTAAAAATGAAGAAATATCACAAAGAAAGACTAGAGAATGTGTTAATGCTAAATACAAAGAAACGCTTTTGAAAAAGAACAATGAATTTAGCACTAAGATTAAAAAGGTGGCACTCAGAAAACCAGAGGATGAACTTCAGACTAAGAAGAAAGAAATGGTGCTGAGAAGTTGTGAAGAACTTCATGACAAAATTAAACATACAACAGTTAGAAAGAATGGCGGTGAGCTTATTACCAAAAGAAATGAAATATTGCTGGAGAAGAGTGAGGAAGATAGTATTAAAGGTACAGAAATAACCCAACAAACAAAAAATGATTTGAATAACAAGAAGATAATTGTCCCAGCGAGAAAGATTGAACATGCTAACAGTAAGAACAAAGAAGTAGACAATAGGAACTGTGAAGAGATCCTTAATACTAAAATTGAAGGTGTACCACTGAAAAAGAGTGAAGAAAATATCTCTAAGAACATAGAAGCTTCACAAAGGAAGAATATAGATGAGATTAATAAGATTAAACAGATACTACAAAGAAAATCTGAAAATATGGGTACAACAAATAAAGAAATACCATCCAAGAAGAATGAAGATCTTAGCACTTTAAATGAAGAAATTTTACCTAGAAGTAGTGAGAATTTTGTTGAGAATGTACAGATACTGCCTAGAAAGAATGATGATGTTAAAACCAAGATGGCAGAAGTACCATCAGTAAAGAATGAAGATTGTTTATTTGGAGTTGAAGCTCCAAAATCATTCAGTGATAACAAATATTTATTACAGAATACATGGTTCAAGTCAGAATACATCTCAGCTGATGATAAGAAATTTCAACAGCCAACAAAATCTTCTCTTTCATTTGCAGATGTTGAACCATTAACAAAGGGGAAAATCGCCACAGAGACAAAAGAATTAGTTGGAAAAGTGATTAATAGCAAAGAAGAAAAATTTGAACCACACAAGGAGATGAACACATCAAATAAAGTTAAAAATGTGATCAGTAGATTTGGAAATGAGATCTTGGGTAATAATGGAGTAGACAGTGCAAAATCTTCTCACGTTTTGAGAAGAAATTTATTGCAATTAAAAGCTGAGTCACAAACTGTAAAATCTGAAAAACAAATTGTCAGTAATGTTAGTAACCTTTCTAGGAGTAATAAAATTGTTCCAGTTTCTAATAAAATAACTATTTTTAATACTGACAAGATATTACATAACATGCCGATATCAGTTGACAGTTGTTCATCAGAAAAGAATGCCAGTATTTCCAAGTCAGCTGAAACTCATGTTCAGAGTCAAGTAGTGTCACATGCTGGAATTAAAACTTCCCCAAAAGGTGTTTGGGACAGCAGTGATTCTGAAGATGATATATTGACGAAGTTGCCCGAGGGACAAGTATCTTCACTGTTGAGCAATAGTCTGTCAGCAATGAAAGAAGAGCCTCTATCCAAATGTCCTCCTAATACAATTTTACCCACAAAGGATGCTGTTTTAAAACAAGACAGCAAGACAACAGCAGAGTTTGAAGACATTCCTCCTGAACAGGTGTGTGGAGGTGAAAATGGAGCAAAAGTTGAAACTAAAACGCTTATGATTAGTCATATACCAGTTGCAAACAAAGTGGAACTGACATCAGTTACAGGGGCAGCCATATCAAAAAGTGATAATAAAACCAAGGAGAAGTATACAGAGTTGAGAGTTATGGATTGCAGAAAAGGTGTGGAAGTTAGAAGAGGTAAAATTGGCCCTTCAAGTCAAGCACTGAGATACCATGCCAAATCAAATGCTGTACTAAACAGAGAACCTACATTTAGGGACAAAGTAAAAGCAAAAGTGAACATGTCAAATGAACAGATTGAGAAATGGCTAAATGAAAGTTACATTGAAGAATCAGATTCTGGGAATTCAGTGTTTGATAAATGCTTGAAGTCCATGGGTGAAGAAGGTGAAACTTTAAATAACATTGATTTTATTGATACCACAACAACCAAGGAATATGATTACAGGACCAACCCCTTAGAAGAAGAGCTAAAGTCAGGAAAAGACATGTCATCATACTTGAGAGAGATTGATGATGAACATTTATACCAATCTGATAAAGATTTCCCATTTTTAGGGGAAGTATTTCCACAGAAAGTTGTTGAATTACCAGAAGTAACTCCTAAGTTCACTGTTAACTTTAAAAAGAGCATGTCACATGATGTAGCTCTTGTCAGACCACAGTCTTCTGCAGAGAGTTTGTTGATGTTGGATGAAGGAAGAGATTCAAGAACTAGCAAAAACAGTGTCAGTTCACTAGTCAAGGAACCAAAGTCTGTTGGTGTGAATGCAGTTCCTATTAGTCGGCAAAAAATTGAAGTGAGGAGTACAAGAAATCAGGAAGAAAATGAAGATGATACTAACAAGGAGGAAGCAGCTGTTGGAAAATTGCAAAGTAACATATGTTCAGCATCAGCATTACAACATGATGTAAGTGAACTAAGTATGCCAAGGCCTTCATATAGTAAGAGAGACAAAAACCAGAGGTATGATGAAGAGCAGACTCATAATGTTCAGTCACAAGAAGACATACATGTTATTGAAGAAAAGTTTAATAAATTAAACCCAGAAGCAAGGAAGCAGGAAGTAAATATTACACATCACAACATCAAGTCACAGCCTATGCAGGATCGAGGAGGGGAGAAAAAGCCCATATTCCAGCAACGACGTTCATTCCCACATAAAATTAAAGAACGCAAGGATTTGACTCCAAGTGCAAATGCTTTCTCTCCAGAGAATGAAAGCAGTGTTTATGCATTTGAATCAGAACCAGAGTTACCACCGGTCAGTACACCATTCAGGCGTAGGGCAAGAGACAGTCGAACATCTAGTACAACAACATCAAAATCAGAGGAAGACTTGGCACGACTGGATGATGAAACAACACCACCTCCATCAGCAGTCCAAATGACATTGCAAACCGTTCAGTCACCAACATTGCAAACCATTCAGTCACCACCAGTACAGACAGTCCCATCATCAACAGTGCAGACAGTCCAGTCTGAACGGCTTACATTGCCTGTTGTTGGGCAACCTATACAAACTTTGCCTTTGTCAACAGCCATAGTACAAATTATACCAACTCTTCCTATAACCATGAGGCCTGTACAGGTTGAAAACTATGTATCAGCACAGCAGCAACAACAGCAGCAGCAAGTGCTCCTGTTACAGAATGACGCAGTAATGACAACGTTAAAAACTGGATGCACCAGTAGTGCATCTATTGCTGTTCAGGTAAATTTAGATAATGAACCCAGCCTTGATGCATCATCACAAAATATATTAGCATCCCATCCAGCAACTCCAGAACCTCTGCTTCAACGAAGCATGGAGTGCTCCACGCAGACAGATGTGGCAGAAGAGGAGGAGGATGACAATGAGGGGCATTTGTTCTATATCCCACTGCAGCATCCTACTGGGACAGGAGGACCATTGGCTACACCAACACAACAGTTAATACAAGGTGTTGCAGTCAAACTAGGCACAGAAGGGCCAACAGGACCAAATCAGCGTGTCATTATGCGAGCGAAACTAGTCACTAAACCACCGACCTTCAACCGCACAGCAGTGGGTATTCAAGATGGGAATACAACTGGTATTGGAAGGTACAGATATCTGTAAACTCCTGACATCTCCACCTTACCTACCCTGTCAGTAACCTCCATAATTGTGAAAGATGGTTTCCCCCTAGTTTTCCTCATTTCTTCCAGGCTGTAAGAACCTGCAGTTCCAGAATTTTTCTCCAGTTTGTAATTGTCATTGTCTTCCAATTCTCAGGCACCACTCCCCTCTGTTTCTCTGTTTATTTTTTAGACAATTTTCTTCTCTTTTTTCTTTCATGTCTTTACCATCTAGTCTGTGACTTTTGCTTTTTAGCTTACTTTCTTTCTTTAAGGCAAGAAAGCACTGACATGTGAAATGACATTGCTGTGGGTTCTGATAGGAAATGGATTTGTTTGGTACTGGTTTCTCTTATTAGTAACTGTCTACAAGGGTTTCCAGTCAGCCATTCAGCTCCCCTTGATTTCTTTCTCATGCAGTCCTCCTTTGTCTTCTTCTTGAAACCGTCCTATGATGATTTTTTTTTATTTGTTTCATTCTGGTCTGTCACACTAACAATTATAAATACAAACCACTCCGTCCAGTGTGACATGTAAGTTTTTACTACTTTAAACTTATCTCCCTTACATGTTTCGGTCCTTACAGGCCATCTTCAGAGGGAACATCATTACAAACTGGAAACTACCATCACAATAGGTGTTTTGATTTAAAATACATACACTTATATCCTATAATGCACAGTACGCATAAAGTCGAACATTTCACAATCACAGCAGCTTCCTGGTGTTGTAAAGTTTTTAAAAGTTTCTAGATGTTATTTAAGAAACCTTTATTGTCAATAGTTAAAATTTTTTAAACCACGTAGGTTCGTGCCCGTACTCCTATGGTCCTTCTTGTATGGGGCAGATTTTGTGCCGCCTGTCTATCTTGATGAGGAGGTTCTTGATGTTATCAAGGGTTTGTTCGTGGCTTGCTGTGTTGTTTTCACATAAAAAAAAATGACAGCTGCACAAAATCAGTATTCAGCTTTCAGTCTAATGGCAGCAACAGATGGATCACAGGGGCTAGATATGTCTGGTTTGGTATGGAGCTAGATCATAAATGTGCTAACATTTTATAACACTCCTGCTTTTTATTGATGAGGTCCCACGTTCAACCTTAGTGCAGAGACTGGTTATGCTGAGTAAGGTTTATTATGGTTTTCTGCAGCCCCTCCAGACAAATGCCAGGATAACATCTGAACGTAGGAAATGACCACATCCGTTCAAATCCACCGTTTATTAATTATCCTATTATTCAACACTAGATAGCCTGAGTTACTGACAGCACTATTAATAAACCATAAATAAACGTGCCACGTACAATGACCACATGGTCTGAGGCATGTACGATCTTCTGCACCACTTGAACGCTCTTCGATTCCCATCAAGGGCATGGATGTACGTATTTTTCCTGTGTTTGTGTTGTCGTGTGCTTTTGAACTGGTCAGTGCCTTGTCCAAGGAGTCCTACCAAATGTCTATAAACAAAATCCTGAAATTGGGAAAATGGAAGGTTTTGGCCAACATTGGCCTGTAGCACTACACAAGAAAAATAAATAAATAAGTATTCATCATTTTCAGTTTATGCCCTTGTCCTTTCTTGATATATAGTTGCTCCTCACTATATGTGAGTTTGAAAAATGCAGTTTCATCCTAATATACCTAGATAATTTATACCAATTTCAGTTAATAGCTCTCATTTTAATGCAGATTGTTTACTGTCCAATCAAAAGAGGCAGGAAAAAGGGGAATAGAGAATTGTATGGGTAATGACACATGGAGAAGGGGGCAATTTCAACCTCAATAACAATTCTTTTCTTTTCAGAAAACAGCTCTTGCATAAATTGATGAGTACCTGTACTCACAATATTTTTGTTATCTCCCAGTTATCTTCTCTTTATAAGATTCGTTGTCAATTCCAAGAAAATGTTTGTTTACTTTCAGCCTTCATTTGCCAACTCCTAATGCTAGTTATTGTATTACATAATCATTTGTAATGACTTTTGATCTTAACCTTAGAAAACATATACATTTAAAGGAAGACTGCATACAGACATATCCTTATTTTTATTTAAAATACTAGTATCCTGTTTTGAAATTATTCAGTGGTCTTTTAGTTTAATTTAATTTATTTTCTTCATCTAATTGTACAGTTTTTTGACTACCTTTTAACATTGGAATTTATTGTTTTGGTTTTTTATATTTTTTGTTCTTCATAATACATTTATTTTGTTAACAGGTCCCTGCTCACTGCACAGCACCAAAGATCAACTGGAATGTTGATGATGGAACAGAAGAATATTTATGGTTCTGCAGTTGGGGCATCCTCACCTGCCACCACTGGAACATATCCGCCAGTTGGCACTGTTCAGCCGACTGCACGTGGTCGCCCACTTGTTGTTCCATCAAGCAACAGTGCAAGAAGTGATGATACGATAGATACAGTGTCAGATAATACAGATGTTCTGAAGTTGTCTGAAACTGGTGGTAAAACTGCCGATATCTCTTTAGGTTTACATACACGGCCTGAAGTGGACGATACAGTGAACAAACCACTGGCCATGGTCTCTGCAAAGCCAGTCGTTAAGCCCCAGCAGAATGCAGTACCTTCCATCAAAGAACAGAAAATTCAAAGTGTTCTACCCTCTTCCTCACTTGATGATGTGGCGGCACCCAAGTTGCCTGTAAGCAAAAGTCAAGGAAATGTAGGAAAGGATCGAAGAAGTTCAGTGGAGGCGAACTCCCCGAATACTTCATCTACATCAAAATCGACAGCTGGAAGCAGTAAGCGGTAAGTTCTTAGATCTGGTTGTTCAGACCCAACATTTTTAATTGTCTTTATTCCTACATGACAAGTGGGAAATTATCTTTACTTAGGGGTGGGATGGAACAATTTTGAATGTTCTGTGAACTAGATATCCTTAATGGTAAAAAGATTTAAGACAGTGATAAGTAGCTCTCAGTTATTTGCTGCACTTTGAACATACTTTATATGTATACTAAAAGATTTAGCATTATTAATCGTTAATTGTTACAGTTGTTCAGTTCTTATGTATATAAATAAGCAAACAATTGTAGTTAAATGTTAACATTTAATTTAATCTGTATGCTGTATGTACTGTTTTCCAAAGAGTTCTTTTTCAACATTATGAAATGCAAAACGACACTTTCTGTCAGAATCTCACTTTCTTTTGTACATGATAAAGTAAAACTTCATAAAGGGCTATTTTATTATTAATGACCAAATATTTGGATCAGACAGATTGGATTTGTTGCTGACCATATTTTTTCCACAGTAGAGAGCAGTACAAGGACAGATAACTGGTCATCCAGGTATCTTATTTGTATCCTTTTATTTCCTCTTATGTCATTCAATTAAAGCAGGTTAGCTGACTGCATCATATGCAGTGTTTTCACCAGTACTGATTGAATTGTTGATTAAATGTATTTATAAAGTTAGTTTGGAATTCAAATGGGATTATGAAGTAAAGTGATAATCCAAATGGCAAAAATTGACCTAATTCAAATATATCAATTTGTGGTAAATCATCGCCTTCGCTATCACTTCCTCGTAGGGGCCAAGATTGAAATCTTCCCAGTGGTTTCCCCTTCTAAAAATAAGATATCCACCTTCAAACTAGGCATGAGAGCTAAGGCCAGGATGCCCAAAATTATGTTTTGAGGCAGAGGCCTCAACAAGTATGTGATCAGATAAAACTTTTTGCAGGAGTTCTCAGAAAGCAAAATCAATGAACTATGCATGTAAACCAAGTAACACTACCAGCTTCCCAAGTCTGGGAAGTCCAGCGCAGATGGTCGAAGCACCTGTCTTTCATCCATCAGAGAAAGAGTTCCAGGATCCACTAGAATACATTGACAGGATTCGACCTGTGGCTGAAAAGTTTGGGTTGTGTCGTGTTGTGCCACCACCTAATTTTAAGGTAGGTATACAGCATTCCATACTGAGTTGGCAAGATACTCACCTCTCTCTTGCTTCCAGTTACATTATCCATTGTTGAGATGTTAGTTTGCTGTTGTTACATGTTACTTTTCATCTTTAATTCCAAGCAGTTAACCCACTTATCAAAAAGGAATATGTAGAGAGCTGTTGACAATCAGCTTATTTGTTTCATTAAATAATTTCAGTCCATAAGCTTGACAGTTATAATTTCTTTCCATTGTCCTGCAAATATGTATTCCTCATTCTTTTTTTTTGTTCATGTTTCATTATCAGTTGTTGCTGTTTTACCTCATTTGTTTAGTACATCTAATTCTGTAAGACAATATACTGTAACATGTACGAGTAGTACCATTGCTATGCAGTGATTGTGAGAAGGAACATGCATTGCTTGGTAACGGCTCAGTAAACCCTTTCCCACAGAAACGAGACACGCACAACAATACAGTTACAATGAAGAAGAATGGTGTTTTTGATGTGGTCAGTGCCGAGGAGTTATCTTGAAGACAATTAAGTTGGCCAGTTCAGTTTTCAGTTGAAAGTCAGTCTGTTAAGAGAAGACTAGAGGTTGGTGTGAAATGGCTGTCAGCCTGAGACCCACTTAGTTGAGTGCTGGAATTTCAGTGGAGTTCTATGGGAGGCTGTGAAGAAAAGAGTTAGTTGGAAGAATGCACCTATGAAAAGAAGACTTATATGTGATATATGGAATTTGTAATTCAGTGAGTCTATTATGAATGAATGAATGTATAAGGGGTGGGCCTTCTCAGCCCTTGCACTGCGACCTACTGTGATCTCTTGTGCTTCCCCTTTTGATTATCCCCTCAGCAATCCTGCGCTTTGAATGACGTGCAGCGTTTTGTATGTGGGGGTGTCGAAATAGTCACTTGGTTCCATAAAGTATTGACCCAAGTGACATAATCTTAAATAAGCTAAGGCCTCACATTCACACAGGATATGTGTGGCTGTTTCATTTTCTTCTTGACACCTCTCACAAGTGGGACTATCACTTAGTCCCAGTTTGAAGAGGTGTCCTTTAAGGTGACAGTGTCCTGTAAGTAGTCCCACCACCCATCATAGCTGGTTCCTGTTTAACTTCAACAGTTCTTCGCTCTTTTAGCAGAGGGTACTTGTATGAGTCCCTTTGCGTACCTGAGTCCAGTCAAGGATCCCCAGTATTTCTTGTGCTTCATATATGTCCAGTCCCTGATTACCTTTCTGTGACTCCTGTAGAGATGTCACAGGCTGGTTCAGGTCCTATGCACAGATGTTCAGCTCCAATCTTAGCTAATCGAAGACTAATATGGTTCCTGTGTTAAATCCATTGTCAGGAAACTGCTAGTGGAGACTGTAACATACTGAGGACACTAGTCTGTATGTGTAGCAGTGATCTGTAAAGTGTAGTTCTGAATGGTATGTACAAGTTGTCAATAAATCCAGTATTCAATCCATACCCCATCTATAGTCACGCCTCTAAATACGTGACAATGTAAACGATGTAAGATTTGAGGTTTTCACGGCGGTGACTATGAAGAAAGCAGTCTTCTGGGATTTGGCACCATGTATATGTGGTGTTAACTGACGTTTCGGAGGAACGTATCGCCTCCATCTTCAGGGTAGAAGGAAAAATATAAGAAATCCACAAGTGAAGAGACCGTGAGAACCGGTAAGAGCAGACGGTCTCCTCACTTGCGGATTTCTTATATTTTTCCTTCTACCCTAAAGATGGAGACGATATGTTCCTCCGAAACATCGGTTAACACCACATATACGTACACGGTGCCAAATCCCAGAAGACTGCTTTCTTCAATGTAAATGATGTCTTCATGATTAAAATAAGAAAGGCATAAGCAGGAATTCTTGTTGATATACATTTGTCACATCTACTTCTGAAAAGCTGAAACCAAATGTTACAATATAGTGATTAATGCTTGTGTTTTACTCAAGAGAGATTGACCCCATAGTTCAATAGAAATCCCATAGATGGACCTTGTACTCATAATTTCACAGAGTATTGGNGGAAAGACTGGTGTTTTTAAATTTTTAACAAGCAGTGTAACAGTTGCGTGAGTGATACACACCTGATGATGGCCATTTAGGGCCGAAACATGTAGTGTGGAGGAGGAAAAAGAAGTAAAAACTACAATAAAATTGTTGCACTTAAGACGGTATTTGTCCATATATATTGTGTGAGTGTAACAGGATGCTGAAATATAATATTATAAGATTGAGAGCACCTGAAGACATAAGTAAATCAAGATTCACTTTATCCATTCCTTTATGATCAATGATATGAGCTAAGAATCCTCATTCAGTAAAGTGCCTGGATGACAGGTTTATTTCCAAGTGATTTTGTATCATGGAAGGTAGTTTAGGAGCCATGAACACAGCAACTGATTGATTACAAAACCAGGATTAAGGTGTCACTACTCAGTTTTATTTTCTGTATCTCACTACGTGTTTCAATCTGCAGAGATCAGAGATCATCATCTCTACCACCACCTCCAGACTGGCTCTGGATCTCATCCACCCTTTTATGTACTGAGGTTAAGAATGCATGGAGCCTTACCTCCACCCCCCATACATTTTCATGGTGTGGTGCATAAGCACTAAAAAAAATTATTTCCAATAATGAAACATGAAATTTGAGATATGTATAACTGTCATTTTACTTTGCAGCATTGTGAGAACCTTCGAATATTGTGTCTTGCAGAATGCATGTGACATAGATCTTCTGTTCTTGCAAGAAGTTGAAAGTCTATTTTGAAACATATTCTTTTAGAATTACAGTCTTGGCTGAGCTATGCTGCTTTATGGTCAGGTTATAATTTTGGTAAGATGTGTGTTGATTGTATTGCATTTTATTTCTAAGCCAGACCAACCAGAACCATTGATCATATATTGGCCCAGTAAATTAAATGCGTCTTTTCTGGTTTGAAATATTCCATCAGACTACATGGTATCATAACCCACAGCATGAATGTTCATCATTGTTAAGACCTCAAACCTCATGTTCCATTTCCAGTATATCTTGTTATGATTTCAGCCTGAATGTAAAGTGAGCGATGACATGCGCTTCCTAGCATACAACCAGTATGTTCATAAGATGCTGCACCGTTGGGGACCAAATGTTAAGGAAATGATGGCTATTAAGAAGTATTTAGCTACACAGAGTATATCATTCAGCCATCCTCCTTGGGTAAGATACATTCGGAATACAAGTAATTGTAAAAATATTACATAATCTTACCATTACTGTTTGTCATTCTAATGACTGGAACAGTACAGACATTATAAATGGGCAGAAATGTGCAAAGACAAAGGAGAAACACTGGGAAATAAATTGAATGAGAATAAAATTTAGAAAAGCCATATTTAAAAATCAGTTTTACTAAAAATGTAATCCAAGAAGATAGAGACTTAAAAAATATGAAGTGTAATATCAGATTGTGAGGGAAGTTAAAATATTTCATTATTTTGATACTACAGTTTTATAAAGTGGAAAATTTTGGAAAGAAATTACAGAGAGAATCTGCAGAGCTACTTATTTTTACCAGAAAATTAAAGATATCCTTTGGAATAAAGAATTGTCAGAAAAGATTAAAGGTATATTTTATGAAATGTGTTACATATTTTGACATACGGAGCAGAAATGTGGACATGGGCTGAAAATGATATAAGCAGATTACCAGCTGTAGAGATGAAGTTCAGTGTAGTTCTAAGAAATGATTACAACATGAGATAAAATCTAAAGCCAGTACTAGGCAAATTGTGAAACTAGGAGCTCTACGAGAACACTTGTTCAGATGAAGGATAGAGTGTTTAAGGGTATGTGTTGTGCATGGATGACAGTAGGATTTCTTCAGTAGTAATGAAAATGAAGATGTAGAATAAACAACTGTGAGGGAGGCAAGGGCAGAGTGAGGGATGATATACAATTGAGAGAAGAAAAAGAGTAACCACAAATACAAGAGAAGTGCTTGTGGGAGGAAAAAGGAAAAATTGAGAAGGCTTTATTAGAAATGACCCATCCGGGTGAAAACTTCAGTGAGGATAATTGTCCATGATCTAAGTAGACCGTCTTACAGTGCATACATTTATTCAACTTACTCTTCTTCTTACAGTGCATACATTTATTGTTATGATTGTTATGATTAAAAGGTTAAATTTGTTTGTGTTTCTGTTTATCTATTTATGTGTAAGCTTTTAGGACCTGCAGGGCACACTATTGTGAGCCAAATTATGGAGTGTTACATGTGGATAGAGACTATTTCCTGTTATATACACACCCCAAAAGTAAAATAACCGGATTGATTCTGTAAAAGTTTTCATTTTATCACCAAATATTGGTGTTTGTGGTCATTTTGACTAGTCACTCATCCCATTGTTCCCAGTGTGCCTGTAAAAACTACTGGAAACAGTTTTCTGAAAGTCCTTAGAGCATTGTTTGGTATTTGAATTGAATTGAATTTATTTACATTCTATAAATCCTAAGCAGGTTAGTACCTTTGGATACAGAACAAGTCAAAAGGTTACATAAGTACAGGCAATTTTAGCTTAAAAATTAATATAACTTAATTTTACATCATTCTCTATTTACATTGAAGTATTCATCTAAAGAGTAGAAGGAATGAGCATGTAGATAATTCTTTAACTCTGATTTAAACTTTTTAGTATCATTGCCCAAGTTTTTAATACTTTGTGGCAGATTGTTGAACACTTTTATGCCAGTAAAGTAGACTCCTTTTTGATATACTGATAAAGTTGATGAGGGTAGGTGGAAGTTATATTTTTGTCTAGTATTCATGTTATAGACATCAGAATTTAATTTGAATTTATCTTTGTTGTAAACAACAAATAGGAGAAGCGATAATATGTATTGCGATTGAAGCGGTAGAATTTTTAATTTCTTAAATAATTCTCTACATGAATCTCTACTTCTACATCCTGTAATGATTCTTATTATATTCTTTCTTTAGTAGACTGAAAATGAGACCCATCCATTGTAATTTTCTGTATAGTTGTGGTCTATTTTATATCTGTCAAGAACTAAATTAAGTATGAGATTTCAAATCTGACATGGCACAAATTAGGTTTCCTGTTCTCCCATTAGTGTAAGAATCACAGAAGCACGATATGCCTTCTCACCATACTTTATCTAGGAGATCTGTCTTTTTTACATGAAGTAGAGAGTTCCTCAAGTTATTAATCTCTAAACCAGTTTAGAAATCCACTAGTTCATAGTATTACAGTGTGCTTCAGACAGGTATCTGGAGAGGACACAGGGCTTCAGAAACACATCTCAAATCTACTGGTCACAAACTAAATCCACTTATCCACAGTCCTGCAGTATGCTTTATACAAGTATTTGTGTGGGAAAAAGGCCTCCATAAATACAACGTAAATCTCTTAGCCTCTTAATAAAATGTTCTCATCCTTAGCCCTAAAAATGCTTCATTCAAATTTTTCATAGCATATATTTAAAAATTAACCCTTAAATATTAATTATTAAGGTCTGTGGACAAAATTGTTTACTTTCTACCCCTTATCCAATAATAAATCATAGTAAGACATCTGTTTAGTACATTTGTAATGCATTTAAAAATTGACAGGAAAGAAATTTGCTGTAATGTCAGTTAATGTTCATGGTAAGCGGATTCGAGCATCCTGGTTGTGTTACGGTACACTGCAGTATATATAAGTGTTTCAGGGTAGTTGTCACAATATTCTTGGGTATGGAAGTGTTAAAATGGGGATGCTTATTTGATGCTTTAGAGAATAATGCTTTATCAGAACTCCCATACATAATTTTATCTCTTCCTTCCTACTGTATATGGTTTTGGCACTCTGCTATTTCATGTATTTGCCATCTGTTTTTATGCAGATTGGAGGCATGGAAGTTGACTTGCCACGACTGTACAAAATAGTTCAGAATTTTGGTGGTTTGAAGGAGGTAATTGAGAAGAAGAAATGGCATCGAGTTGCAGATGGAATGAAGATCCCAAAATCTGCACAAGATAGAGTGACAAAGTTAGATGATATATATTGCAAATATTTATTGCCATATGACACGCTATCACCAGGTGAGGAATTGTTAAGCAAAGGAGATGGAAATGTAGGATGTGATAGATAATAATGATAGAAATATTTGTATAAAAATTTGTGGATAGTATTTATCAGGCATTTGATTTTCTATTCAGTTGTACCCATGATGTTTCAGATTAAATGTATTGAGGACATTTTTTTGTTGTTGCATTTTAGTGTTGTAGTTATTTTTAAGTAATTTTGAAGTAACGAGTAGCCATGGTGTTGATAAGAAAGAGCTTAACAATTAGTTAGAAAGTGAAAATTATGTAGGAGGTAGGATAGAATCCAACTGTGCTGTGAAATAAAATCGTAAAGTGTTTCATGGTGCCTCAAGCATCATTAAATAATATAATTATATGGAAAACTTCATTTCTTTAAGAGGGAAATGGGGTGCATTCTGAGAAATGAAGAAACTTGTATTTTATTAAGTGATCAAGGTTCAGTGTCTTTTCCAAAACCCCCCATTTAAGGTACAAAAGAAAAAGCTTGTCCCACAAACAGACCTTAAATCAGGGTTTCACTGTAAACTGTGGCCAAATAATCAGGAATTGACTGGACATTAGAATGATGTTAAATGGTTTAGAGTCTCACTTAATTCAAGAAGATGGAAAGAAGTAAATATTCATAATGAAATTGGGAGAAAAGTTAAGAAAGTGCTTGTTTTATCAGTTAAAATGGTTTCTTCTAATATATTTTCTATATCACTAACAACTGTACATAATTTTACCAGTTGTTACATATGATTCTGAAAAATAATCTGTTAAGATTATTATATAAGGAAGAAATTTGTCCGTTAGTAATTGTCAGGTAGTGAATTGAGAGATACACTGGATACACTGGACATATATTTCACATGGAGGAGATAAATTCATACAGAAGTCTGATGACTGAAACCTCTTTTAAAGTGACCACTTGTAAGGCCAAGGGTGTGGTGGAAGGATAATTCTAAGATGGATCTTAGGGAAATAAGTGTGTAAATTGAAGTGGCTTAGAATCATGTCTGGTGGTGGACGTTGGTATCAGTAGTAACAGACTTTTATTAGGTGCCATTAGTAGAGCATCAGTTAGAAATTTGTTTTATATCTTTCATTATGGCTGAAGAATTTAATTAATTGTTCTTATTCTTTGTTATCATTTCCACTATTGCATGTGTCTATGTGATGTAATGCTTCTTTGCTTTAGATGAAAGACAGAAACTGCTTGATGAAGTGGAACAAGAGTGGACTGAGAGAGAGAAGCGAGCAACAACATCAATCAGTCCAGGTGGTAGCGATATGCCTGAGGAAGAATGTGAAGGTGACACGTCAGATGAAAGCGAGGAATGCATTGTAAAGGTAATTTCTTTAACAGGTCATTCAGATTTACCATGGAATGTGGTATATAAACCACAAGGAAAACTAGTTAATCAGATAATTCTTCAGTTAGAATTGTATTTCTTTGTGATTATATCTCCTGCAAGATAGATTCATATGTTATCTTTTTCATTTCTGATTACCTAAATGAGGTTCATGTGTCTGTCATCAGTGATGGTTTTACTGCTCCTTATAGAATAAAATATTTATTAGAAATACCATCTGAGGCCAGGATTAAGGATGCAAGAAGCTATACATTCACTCCCCCATCCACCATCCTGGCATGGTGAGTAATTAAACATAGGGATAACTTCATCTTTAACTTTACCTGTACTGTCAACAGCTACTATATTCGTGTTATATTATGCACTGTAAATGGTTACTGACAGTGAGATCATAACTCCCAAAGCAGTAAATGTTAAGATATAATGTTAATGTAGATGTTCCTATCTAATTACAATCTGATATCATGCTGCCATGGTGGGTTTTATGATAAATGGCACACTGTATAACTCCCCTCATTTGATTTGACCATCTTGGCCTTTGTTCTCCCAGTGTTTGTTTATTTATCTTAATATTTGTTGCTCACAAAGGAATCCCATTGTCATCCATATGTAGCATTGATTTTTCCAGGTGGATAGGTCATCCTGTGATCTGTCTGTGTCCACCATTTTTCTACTCCATAATATATAGGCTGTACATAAATATATGTTACAACACTCTGTGGTAGATTGAGATCAATCTGATCATATTTTGTTAATACACCCATGTCTGGAAACACTTAGTTTACATGCTAGGGCCTCTGAAATGTGAAAGAGGACACTCTTACCTCTTATCTCTGCTGCTTACTGGGGACAGTTACCTAACGTTTATCCAAGAGACTTTACCCGAGCTGCTGGAAGTGGTGCCTTTGGATGTCCATCGTGAAATGTGGTTCCAGCATGATGGTGCCCCGGCACACTGCACTAATGTCGTCCATGAGTGTTTGGATGAAACTTTTGACAACAAATGGATTGGATGTGGAGACCCAATAACCTGGCCCCCTTGTTCGTCTGACTTGACTCAGCTGCATTTCTTCTTTTGGGGTACATGCAGAGCCTGGTGTACGAGACTCCATTCGAGACACAACATGATCTTGTGGCAAGAATTGCAGTAGCAGCTGGAACCATCCAGGAAATTCCAGGACTCTCTAAAAAAATTCAGCATAATGTGGCCAGGCAGTGCAGAACATGCAGCGAAGTCAGTGGCTGCCATTTTGAGCAACTTTTATAATATAAAACAATGATAACATCCCATAAAACTTTTGCATCCTTTCAGAAACTTTTGTGGCCCTTAGTGCCAAAAAGAAGCGTTTCCAGACACAGGTGTATCAAAAAAATATGATCAGATTGAAACCATTTATTTACCACATCATTGTAACATATATTTATTTACACTCTGTATATTGTCCATTCTCTTCCCTTTGTGTTCTTGGTCTCCCCACTGTTCAGTTATTCAGAGTCTTCATTCCTGAAGTGCTCAGAGGAATCTTAGTGCCATTCATACATTACTTGTATTCATACCGCTATATCCTTAATTTCTCTAACCTTCAATTAATATTCTGGTTTCACATTGTATCAAATAAAAATAGAGGGTTAGGTTATTATCACACAAACAGATGTTTTTATTATTCCACTCATAGCATGTTTTGGCTCAGGTAGGCCATCATTGGGTGATTCTTGAGGAGCACACAAATGGTGATGGAATACATATAAAAACTACAATGCTAACATTAGTTTTTATATGTATTCCATCATCATTTGTATATTCATCAAGAATCACCTGATGATGGTGTGTATGGGCCAAAACATGCTCTCATTGGAATAATAAAAACATTTGGTTGCGTGGCTGTAGCCCCTCTGTTTTTATTCACAAACACCACAAGATCCTGTACTATTTGTACAGAACTATTAGGCTTATTTTTGACTCTATCCATCATCTGGTAGATACAAGACAAAAAACCATAATGTTTCAGAGACTGGATCTGTCTCTGAAACGTTGTGGTTTTTTGTCTTATACAGGGTGTCACAGGAGGAATGGACCAAACTTCGGGAGGGTGTTCCTTATGTTAAAATATGCCGATATAACCCAAAACACCTATGTCCAAAGTTGAACGGTTACGGAGATAATGGCCGAGAAAAGTGTGGTCTTCTAGCGGGTCCACGCACTATACCTGTCAGCTGTGGCTGTTATCTGTTTGTCCTGGAGTGCTGTGAGTCACACTAGCCTCAATCTCATGCGCTACCTACAGAGCCTACAGATTATGTTGCGGCGGGGTCGTGAATGGTTAGTAAATTATGTGTAGTTGTGCGGTGTTGCTGAAATGCCTTTTGTGTTTTCACATGTTGAATATTGTGATATGCATTTTGTGTATGGATTTTGCGGTGGCAATGGACGTGCTGCTGTTGAAGAGTACCAAAGGCGTTTTCCTGATCGAAGGATTCCATCTCAACGTGTATTTACGCGAATTCACCAGGCATTGCGTGAGACTGGTTCTCTTCCAAGTGTTTCTGTGCAGTCGGAAAGGGAGGATGTACAAATGAGAAACACACGAGAGAACGTTCTTGAGATGGTTGAGAGAAGTCCGCGTCTGTCCACTCATAGAATGGCCTCTCGCAACGGCCTATCACGTATGCAGGTGTGGCATACTTTACATGATGAAGAGCTGTATCCTTACCATGATCAAAGGGTACAACATCTGGAACCAGGCGACCATGCTCAGCGTATGGATTTCTGCCACTGGATAAAAGCTCATCCCGAACTGTTAAGCGTCATTTTATTCAGTGATGAGGTGTCGTTTACCCAGGATGGTGTAAATAATATAATGAAATATTCATACGTGGTCCCATAATAATCCACATGAGATAATGGAAACGAAATTCCAAAAGAGATTTTCCGTGAATGTACATTTACAGTTATGTTGTCGGCTTATAGCGCAGCCATATTACGTCATCGCTCGCCAGTCATGTGTCATGTATAGTGCTTGGAAACCCTAAGGACAATTATGACATGGCGAGAGAGTATTTTGTACTTCAATTTTATGGCTTCATGTCACTCACAAGTTAGTTTGATGTTACGTACATTATTAACGTTACAGAATCCACATATTCCTGCCAGTTTTAATATGTATTTTGAAATCAACAAGTGTGTAACACCGGTCAAAGTTTGACACTTCTCTGGCCATTATCTCCGTAACCGTTCAACTTTGGATATAGGTGTTTTGGGTTATATCGGCATGCTTTAACATAAGGAACACCCTCCTGAAGTTTGGTCCTTTCCTCCTGGCACACCCTATATATACCAGATGATGGATAGAGTCCAAAATAAGCCTAATAGTTCTGTACAGCATACACCATCGTCAGAATCCTTTCAAGTCTATTACTACTTGTGTTTCTTAATATTTCATAGTAACTTCATCTCTACTGCTTGAAATCAGTTTTAACATCTCTCTTAGTTCACAACTAGATTTCTTTTATTTTATATGGCCTCTTGTTAGTGTCATTGCTCCTAACTTATGACTATTTAGCCATTTTATTCTACAAGCTGTGTTTTTATGGTTATAAGTTGATCTTAATTTGAAACAACCTTCTTGTTTCAACACTCAGGGACGCAATATGCCCTTAAACGCATTCTACCGTATTGCGCGGAACACAATGAGCATGTGGTTCCGTCAGGCTGAACCACCAGCATCTGATGTTGAGCAGGAATTCTGGCGACATGTGACTTTACGGCAGAGTCATGTTTGTGTTCACACTGGTTCCATCGATTCCAGTGGCTGGGGATATGGTTTCCCATGCTCTAAAAACAGCCCATTTGCACGTCATCCATGGAATCTTAAGGTTCTAACCAATAATAGTGGTTCAATTCTGCGATCTATTGGACCTATAATGGGTGAGTTCACATTAAGTTTGTGGTTCTGAATGTTTGTGTCAGTGTTTTAGTATTGTCATGCAGTACTTTCTTTGGACATTGTTTGTTGTCTGGATGAAAATATAATTATCACAAAAATATCTGTTTCGGCATATGCATTTTGGCATCAAGTGCTATAGTTAATGCAGTTAGTTCAACTAAAACCAAGAGAAATAATAAATCTTTTAAACTCACCAGAACATCTCTTAAAATTCCAAATTTAATTTGTTGATAATTTTAATTCTATAACATTTCAAGGTTACAGAAATTGCTAGAAATTTAAAAAAGGGATACTTTTACTTTTGATTATAATGCCATTCTATAAAAATTATACCATGTATTGAAAACATTTTCTCTCTTTACTATTTTACAGACCTTCACAATTTTATGTTCTATAACACTCCTAAACAGATTTCCCCATATCAACAGAATTTTTAAAAATAAAGCATATGAATTTATTATTTTTATGTTCAGATCCTTTGTCCATTTTGTCCTTTCACTCTCCTTTAAAGCTCATGAAGACTAGTTGCATCCAGTCATTAATTTCTTTTACCATATGTTGATTCTGTTATGTCATTTATTCGCTTCCACTGTATATTGTTTCTAATGGTTACCATCATGTGTATGTATGTGTGTATTGCAGGTGTTACTGTTCCCACACTCCATGTTGGAATGCTGTTCACTACGTGTTGTTGGTATAGAGATCCACATGGTCTGCCATGGGTGGAATACCTTCATACTGGAGCAAATAAAATTTGGTAAAACCTCTACTGGTATTTATTGTACAACAGTATACTCCAGGAAAACAAATGAATGTCACAGTTAAATGGTCAGCCGTCCTGGTTTGTATTAGGGAGGCCATAGGTTTGAGTTTCAGTTCTGAGATAAGCTGTCCTGACTGAAGATTTAATGGTTTAGTTGTTGTAAAAACAAAAAAAAATCAGGAAACGTGTTTAGAATTGAATACACTGTAACAAAATTAATATTATTTCTTCTTAGATAAGTGCAGTATGTGGAATTTAAACTGAAATTAAAATTAAAATTTTATGAGTTATAAATTTTCAAAACCTTTCTTTGTGTATGTGCACACAATATAGTGAAGCACATTTTAAAGTGATGCAGTGAAGCCCATTAGGTAGCGCTGGATTGGAACACTAACTGTTTTCAGAACTATGGTTGTGCTAATGTGACCATTGTCTATGTATCTTGATATTGTCCTGCTGTACATGTGTGTTTCCAGGTTTTGTAATCACAGAACAATAGTCATACAAGTGCAAGAGCTTTTAAGAAGTCTGTATGATTGTAGCAGGTGCTAGAAGTAATAACATCATACTGAACCTCTTGTTTTGCTTATATTTTCACAGCTTTTACACTTTTTGCAAATAACTTGGAATTCTAGTAGTTTTGTGTATTATGGCAGCTGACCCAAATGTAAGTTTGTATGGTAAGCAGAAGGCGTTCTGTTCTTCAGTCCTGACTGTTTATTAAGTGAATAAAATTGTGCAAAACTGTGTATCAGAGGAAAGTGACATAGAACACTCAAAATTGTGAGTCATATTCAGTTACCAACAGAGAGCTGGAAGTTCATACACATTAAATTGGTGATACTGATGTTGTAAAATGTTCATCTAAATGAAAGGAGGTTTCCAACGAAAATCCATTGCTTTCTGAGCTAATATGGACTAATAACAGTACTTTGTTTCTGACAATACACAAGCTTGATGCCTTAAGCTGAGATGTGAACATGATATACTTACTCAAGCTTGTTAAGTTGATGGGAGAATGATAGGACAGTTAATGAACATGGAGGAGTTGGTACAAGCAGAAATGGCAGGAAAAACTGAAATACTGGGAGCAAACCTGCCACTTTGTCCACCACAAATCGCATATAACATGACCTTGGTTCAAACCCAGGCTGCCATGATGAGAAGCCAGTGACCAAGCACCTGAGTGGTGAAACAGCCCAAACATACTAACGGAAAACTGGAATGAAGTGCGCTGTTTCAAGATGATGCTTACTGAACATTTTGTGTGTGTTTTCACTACAGAGACCAGTGGGTACACACGTCAGGTGATTTCCAATTATTATAAAGATGAATCATCTTACAGTCTCGAAAGGTGAACACATACAACCAGACATGAAATGTGTGCTTTCATTGCTTTGCTGATGTTGAGGGCTAGAAATGCACAACTTTCTGAAAGAAAACTGGCTGAAAGATGTAATACTTGACTCCAAATTGTCTTGGGAATTATGGCAAGATAGTTTCCTTTAAATTCTTAGAATGCTTGCTTTTTTTATCGTGAACAAGTAGGAGACCAACTTCAGAAAGACATATCATTTTCAGCAAGTTCCTGGCTATTTCAGGACTCCTTAATTCCTTTTCAATGTCTCTATATTGGTGAAAGCTTTTCAAGGAAAGGCCAAACTTTAAATTGTACATAAAAACAAAAAAGGCACACATTTGGAGTAAAGCTTTACCTTTTGTGTAATTGAAACTGGATATGTATCGAACTTTTGTGTTAACACAGGGAAAGACACTAACACTGAATTGATTCCTGATACAGGGCTACCACGATCAGTATGGTGACCTCACTGATTACACCACATTTGAACAAAGGTCACTCAGTTTATACTGATAACTGGCATGCCATTTCTGCATTATCTCTTGTTTCTTCACAAAAGGAAGAATAATTCCTGTGTTACAGTACAGGGCAACAGAAAAGGTATGCCTCCTTATGACCATAAAGTGCTGTGACAGGATGTAAGAATGCTTTACACCCTTCATTCAGATGAAATTGTGAATACTGGAAAGTGCAATTGAGAAGCAAAATAACTGATTCTGAACCCAAATATATTGTGGGTTATAGCAATAAAGTGGCTGCAGTAGACTGGACTGATATGCTTCTCAGCTATGTTCATAGTGCTGCTGAGTGCATGCGCACAATGTGAAAAAGTATGCCTCTTCCAGATTTTCAAATGGACGTTTTCAGATGGCTTCTGGAAGTCCATAAAGAAAGAAGAATCTTGTCCAGGAGTTGAAAGTGGATATTTGGAAAGTTCCTGAATGGCTGACAGACCATCACTTTCCAGATTATGTGCCTAGCATTCCTTTGCTAATTGAACACATTGAAGGAGAGCTGCATGTGTATGTCTTCTGTCATAAACCCTATGAAGAGGAAAAAGATCCAGTGTATTTGCAGTGGATGTTATGTTGTACTCTTTGTGGTTTGCTGCTTCAAATAGTTTTACACACACATATAAGTTTTAAAAGACAAAACAAAGAAATTTACATAGTATGAATGGTGCTCTTTTTATTGCTTTTTCCACAGTTTAATGTTCAGATCCACTGCTCTCCAAGGAAGCCTTAAATGGTGGTTTCACAGTGTGTATGGTGATGGCCCCTCTTCTTCTTCTTCTTCTATGGCGCAACAGCCCGATGTCAGGCCTTGGCCTCCCTTATCAAGCCCCTCCATTCCTCTCTATCCTGCGCTGCTCTCTTCCAGTTCCTTACGCCCATTAACTTCTTTGCATCTTCTTCCACCGCATCAATCCATCTAGTTCTTGGTTTCCCCGCATGTCTCCTACCACCTATTGCACTGTATAATATTTTCTTTTGGATACGCTCCTTATCCATTCTCTGTATATGCCCAGCCCATCGCAATCTTTTAAGCTTTATCGTCACTGAGATCTCTGGCTCCTTATATAATTTGTATAACTCTTTATCATATCTTATTCTCCATATCCCATTCTCTTTTACTGGTCCATAAATTCGTCTTATGATTTTCCTCTCAAAAGAATTGATGACTGATTCCTCTTTCTTGTTTAGCGTCCAACCCTCACATCCATAATAAACACCAGTCTTATCATTGTTTTATATATTTTTGTTTTAATCGCTCGGTGTATATCCTTTGATCTAAAAACTGATAGTAACGAGAAATATGCATTATTTGCTAGTTTTATTCTTCTTCTTATTTCATGATTTTCCTCTCCATCTTTATGGAATTTCGATCCTAAATATATGAAGTCTTCAACTATTTCTATCCCGTCCCCTTCCATGTTAATTTCTCCAGTTTGCCTTGGATTCCTTCTAGATTGTATCAGCATTTTAGTTTTATTTACATTCACCTCTAAGCCAGTTGTTTTTGCTATGGTTTTTATTTCTTTATATGTCTCCTTCGTTGCTCCTAGGGATCTCGATACTATAATAATATCATCCACATACGCCGTTATTTGCGTTTGTTTATACGCTATTGTGTTCCTTGTGTCTACATTACATTTCCTCACTATATATTCCAATACCAAATTAAATAATGATGGTGCCAAACTATCTCCATGTTTTAATCCTTGATTTGTCTTAAAGCAATCCGTTAACTGGTTCTGGATTTTAACTTGATTGATTGTTTCTGTCATGGTTAAGTTAATTATTCTACTTAGTTTTGTTGGAATACCAAAAGTGGACATAATCATCCTTAATTTCTTCCTTATTATTGTATCATATGCTTGTTTCAAATCTATGAAGCATGGATAAATATCTATATTAAATTCCCAGCATTTCTCCATTATTTGTCTCAGGCTGAATAAATTGTCTATTGTTGACCTATTGGGTCGAAATCCTAATTGATATTCCCCTATTATTTTTTCTATAAATGGATCCTTGTTAAAATTTTATATGCTGTTGGTAGTAATGAAGTACCTCTATAGTTACTACATGTTAATTCATCCCCTTTTTTAAATATGGGACATATAATGCTCTTTCCCCAATCTTCTGGTATCTTTTCTTCTTCCCACACTTTATTTATAATTCTGTGGAGTGCTATCATTCCTTCTTGTCCTCCTGCCTTCTTTAATTCTGCTGGTATGTTGGTGCTTTATTTAGTTTTTGTTCCTTTAATGCTTCTTCCACTTCTTTCTATGTTGGAGGCTCTATTATCTCCTCCTCTTCCCCTTCTCCATCATCTGTATTTTCTTCTTCATTGTCCTCGTTATCTTCCATATTCTGATTTTGATTTAATAATTGTTCAAAATATTCTTTCCATGTATTCATAATCTCTGTTTTATTATTTATTAGAAGCCCTTTTTTGTCTCGGATAAATTCTGTTTTTGGTTTGAAACCTTCTTTCATATATTTGATTTGACCAAAGGCATTTTTTGTTTTGTTATTTTTGAAGTCTTCTTCCAGTTGCAGTAATTGCTCATTTAGAAAGGCCCGTTTCTTTTTCCTGCAAATCTTGTCTGCTTTCCTTCTTGCTTCTTTATACGCCTCATTCCTTTCTCTTGTTGGTCTTTCCATATATTCCATATACAGTCAACTCTCGATTATCTGGGATAATGGTGGGCATGGAAATCATGACTAATCGAAAACCCAGTTAAGACAAATGTTATTAAAAGTAGTACTGTAATACTGTACCTTCATAATACTATAGGCCTACCTGTATTTAAATTTACTCAACCTCATTTTTATGTCATCTCATGGCCTATTTAATACTTTTTTTACATTATACTGAAGTGTAAATTAGGTATTTCAATCACAGTGTTCAACAACATCCAACACTTTTTACGAATAGTCACACTTAACACTTAAAAAAATTAATATTGCCGTTTGCTTTTTTGCGGCATTTTCCTTTTTACGGATATCCGTACGAAGCCTACGTAATATTAGCTTGTCACTTAATAAACTGTTCTCTTCACTCTCAAGATAGTCTATTGAGGATTCCAAATGATTAAGAGCAGCACTGTCCACCTCTTCCTCATTCTCACTTTCTTCCCGCTCTTCTGGCTGCAACCCCACTGAACTTACGGTTTCGTCACTGCTTAACATTTCAAAGCCCGCCTCACATGAGTTTCTGTTGAATACTTAACACAACACACTTCCTTTTACACCCTGACATTTTGCTAACGCACTTGAAGATCGATACAAAGAGACCAATTTGGGTGGTGTATCTGTCCTTGAAACTTTCCACAAATCCTTGCATTTTTCACCCCTACCCTAGAACATTGTGTTAGCATAACAGGGCCAAAGAATGCAGAGCTCGGTTCACACTAGTGTGAAGATAGTGTTACAATTCACCATGTGAAACAAAAGTGAATGAATATTAAACAACATATAAGCCTCAAAAAAGCCTCAGTAGCCCCGGTTAAGCCGCAAAATTGGTTAATCCGCCCCCGGATAATCGAGAGTTGACTGTATTTCTTATTCTTGAGGTTTATACTCTCCCTACATTCCTTGTCGAACCATTCTCTATTATACTGTTTCTCTTGATATCCCAGAGTCTTCTGAGCTTCTGTAATTATTGCAGTTTTAAAATCTACCCATATCCCTTCTACCGTTACTTCTTTATTTGCTCTATTGTCATTAATTTCTTTAATTTTATTTTGAAATGCTTCTCTCTTATCACTCTCCGTAATTTTGTCAATATTAAATTTCTTACATTTCTCATACGAGGGGGGAACCAAAAATAACCGGAAACGACCTGTTGCGCGCGCATGCTTTGTAGTTACGAGTTGTGCTGCTAGGTGTTGTTAGCTGGGGGTCTCCCGCGACTGTTAGTGAACTGGCATCAGTCTGAGTTAAGTGGTTTGTCTGTGGTGCTCTGTTGTGTGCATTCCTGTTTCAACCCTTTGGCGATTAGTGAGATGGCCGACCAGAAGGAACAAAGAGTGTGCGTGAAATTTTGCTTTCTGTTAGGGAAAACTGCACTTCACTCTTCAAGTCGCGGCAACCATTCATGCGGTTTTCTCTTTGGTCATCTCCGAGCAAGCGAGGAACAAATTTTGCAGACACCCGTCTCATGTGCAAACCTTCGGTTAAAATTCGCTGGACCGTGCTCCATGAGATGTTCGTTTCCTCAGAAAGTTGGTCAATGGTCTTTCGACGATCTTCATCAATTTCACGCACACTCTTTGTTCCTTCTGGTCGGCCATCTCACTAATCGCCAAAGGGTTGAAACAGGAACGCACACAACAGAGCACCACAGACAAACCACTTAACTCAGACTGACGCCAGCTCACTAACAGTCGCGGGAGACCCCCAGCTAACACCACCTAGCAGCACAACTCGTAACTACAAAGCATGCGCGCGCAACAGGTCATTTCCGGTTATTTTTGGGTCCCCCTTCGTACTGCTTAGATCTTTGACAAGTTATTTTACATCTATATTTAACCTGTACTATGTAATGATCACCATCACAGTTGGCTCCTCTTAATGTTCTTATGTCCAGGATATTCATCGTAAATCGCTTCTCTATGGGGACATGATCTATTTGATTGAAGGTTACCCCATCCGGTGTCGCCCATGTCCTTTTATGTATATTTTTGTGCGGGAAGTATGTAGAGCTGATAATCAAGTTCTTACTTTCTGCAAAATCTACTAATTTTATTCCATTATGGTTGGTTGTATCATGTAAACTTTCTGACCCAATTACTCCTCTGTGTTCCTTCTCTTTACCTATTTTGGCATTAAGATCCCCTAAAATAACCTTTATGTCATTACTTGGTATTGAATCATATGTCTCTTCCATTTGTTGATAGAAATAGTCTTTGACCTCCTCCTCTTTTTCTTCTGTAGGTGCATGCACGTTCATCAACGTCATATTGAAAAATTTCATTCTAATTCTCAAAGTGCAAATTCTTTCACTTATTGGTTTAAAGTCTATTATTGCGCTTTTAAATTCTCATTCTATTACAAAGGCTACACCAAATTGCTTATTGCCTTCTGCTTTACCACTGTAGCACACAGTATGTTTCTTTAAGTCCATGATTCCTTTACGCAGCCATCTCATTTCCTGTATGGCTGTGATTTTCATATTGTACTTATCTATCTGTTCTAGTACCGATTTCATGGCACCCGGTTTATTGAGGGTTTTCACATTCCATGTACGTAGAGAGTAGTCCATATTCTTTGCCAAAAGTCGTCTTCCATTCTGTTGAGGTTTCCAAGGCTTGATTCCAGGTTTCAAGACATTTATATTTTTTTTTGCGGTGAGAGGTCGTCAGCCTCTCGCCCAACCCCCAACCTGGAGGGCCAGGGTATCTCTTTTAGTCTGGCTCATCACCTTCAACCTGTCCGGCATGGGTGGCCCTACCAGTAGCTATGCTACCGCCGGCATAGCTCTCAGGGTCGTTTGACCATGCAAGCCCCTCCACTACGTCAAAGTAGAGACACCATCAGGGGGGATGGCCCCTCTAGTGCTGAATTATTTCTTGCCCAAATAGATTCTTCTGTGGATGTCAGTTTTGTTTATTCATAATTTATAAGGCCTTCACTTATTGCAGGTATGGTATTCCTGATGAATACAGTTCAGTATTCAGATCATCTTTAACAAAACTTGTGCCCAGGTACTGCAGAAACAAGACAATATGGCTTCCATCTGACACAGCAATGGTTCCTCCACCCCTGTTGGTGAAGCATGGTGTTTCATTGTGTCACACAGTACAGGAACCAGGCCAGTTTATTCTGGTGTTTCCACGTGCATTTACATCCAGTATTTGCACAGGTTATCTTGTGTCTGAGAGTGTCTACTATGCACAGCCTAGCTGGCTCAACACAGCAGAGCAAGTGTTCAGGGTAAGCATTGTGTTAGAACAAATACTGGTGTGCTTTCTGGGTTTCATAAGAGAAGTGAGAGTTCTTATCCTGTTCATCCTACCCATTTCCAGAATGTTACAGGTTGAGAGGGGCATGCGGTAGCATAGTTGGTTGAGGCATTAAGCTACAAACCAGAAGGTCGTTGAATCAAATCCCAATGAGGTGGATTTTTTCAATTTACATAATCCTTCCAGCTGCAATATGGCCCTGGGGTTGACTCAGCCTCTAACAGAAATGAGTACCAGGAATATTCCTGGGGGTAAAAGGGCATCTGGCGTGTAAGGCTGATAACCTCACCGCTATCTGTGAGCTGATTGTCTAGAAAATGTGGGAGCCTCGACCTCTCACAACCTTATGGGCCTCTATGGCCTGTTACAGGGATACCTGTATCTTTTTACCTTATAGGTTTAGATAGTTATAAGACAATTTTTCAACGATTTTATGCTTGACATCTTAGAGTAATGACAATATATGTTTTGTCTTTTCTCCTCATATGTTCCATGATATGTGTTACTTGTTTCAGGATATTCAGAACAGCTGTGAACCTTCCATGTTCTCTTTGGAGAGACTACTGTTCAGCATTTCAACAGATGGCAGAACAAATGTAGAAGTTTTGAAACAGGTATGCAGTAATCCAGTGTTTCTCAGTATTTCCCTGTGGCAACACACTAAAATGTAATTCAGTATCTTGTAGTACAAGAAGTTATGTATTTATGTATATGCATGCACAGTGGAATCACCATTAAGTGTTCTTCAGTTTAAGCTAATCTCTGATTTGAAATTCAGTTCCAGTAATCCCAAACCAGTAATCTCAATTTTATTAATTTTTTTCATTTAAGATTATCCTCACATCTGTGTTCATGTCCCCTGTTCATAAGAGAAATTCAGTCTGTATCAGCCATGTGTCAGATGTATTTCTTGGTACATTGCTTGGTCCACTTGGCAAATGTTGCATTTCTTTGATGGTAATGCCATTACCTCCCAGTTAAGACATGTCTGTCACAGCTGTAAAAGTGGGGCATTTAAAATTCCATGTTCCCTTACAATAAAATATTACCCCCAGAATGAAAATTAGCCAGGAGGTTTGAAACACCCTGTTCCTAGATAATAAACATTAATCACACTACAGATGTCAGACTGCATAGAAATTATATTTCATTTTTATTTCATTCTATATTCACATCAGAAAATATTTCAAATTAAAGGTGCATATCTCAGCAGGGTTAGATTTTATGTCATGAACCAATATTTTGTAAAGTGTATCATTTAAAAAAAAAAGTTGTCGAAGTTTGATTTGAGCCTTAATGTAAACTACATAACAATGTAAGAGCTGTGTGTTATATGTGGTCCCTGCCAGAACAATATAAGTAGTAAGAGGCAAGGTTACCCCATAGTCAGTTTTGTATGGGAGGTTGTGAAGAGAGGACTTCAGCTGCAAGCAGGGTAATAGCCATTGTTGGAGCTGTGAACAAGGAAACTTCTAGTAAGAGACTGAGAGCACTAGACTGTGTTCTCTAGTGAACTGTAAAGTGTGGAAATAGCAATACTGTTGTAGTTATGACCTGTAAGTGGTCAATAAATCTATTCACCGATTCAAATCTTTCTCTAGTCACACATACTACATGACAATAGGTTGGTTTTGTACCACAGATGTCACATTATATGACATTTCTTAATGGATTGTTTTCTGTTTTTCATTTATTGAGACATTAAAGCAATATAATGTAATGATTCAAAGTATGTGCCATGAGCTTATCATGAACATGAATATTTACCATATTAATACACAGTTTGTTTCTCAAATTTCTTTTTTGTTTTTGTTTTATCAGAGTAATGGGATTTTGCCATCTTCTTTTATAGGTTCTGCCAATGGTTCTCAAAATCAGGCAGGAGGAACTAGACTATCGTAAGCAGCTTTATGCATTGGGACTTAAGACATCAGAACGTTTGCCGTTACCTGAAGTGAACATTAAACGTCGTAAGGTTCGCCAAGCTCGTGAAGAGGAGGGAGATTATGAATGTGAGATTTGTCGAGCAAACCTCTTCGTATCATTGGTAAGAAATGTGTTACAGGTGTCACCAGCAGCACATCAGAAAAGCCTTGAACTCTTCTATAGCTTTTTGTCTGACCACACACTTAGTTTGACTCAAACTAAACACCTTCAGTTTTGGAGAATAATAAGGAAAATTAAAAATATATAGTAAAAGTTGCGTGAACCAGAACTTGGTTTATATGGAAACCTATCTTTAATAAAACAAATATCTCCAGTAGCTAACTAACTCCATGGAGGTGAGTCCATTTTGAGAAGCCAGAAGTCAGTCACACAAGAAATTCCCAGCGTTTTATGGAACCTGAAGGTTCATTACCATGTTCACAAGAGCCCGCCATTAGTCTGTATTCTGAGCCAAATGAATACAGCCACCCCCCCCCCAAATCCTGTATATCTAAGATCATTATATTATTATCCTCCCATCTGTGACTTTGTCTTCATAGTGGTCTTCATTCTCATGTTTACCTCCTAAAACCCTGTACAACTTCCTCTTCTCTCCTGTTCATACTGCATGCCCTGCCCAGCTCATCCTCGTTGACTTATAATATTTTTATATTAATATATTAATATTTTTAGAATAATAGCTAGAATGTAAAACAACATGAAAGCACTGTAAAGTTACTTGTAGTAAGTAGAAATTAGAAACAGGAATTCACAGAAATTTTCATGAATATTTATACTCTCTTGCTCATACTGAGATTCTGCAATTTTTCTCAGGATGAATGTTCATGCCACAAATCAGAATAAGTAATGACTCCTTGTAATTCAGATGTGATTATTTACTTGTATTTTAATATAAGCATGTTTTCCTATAAGAAATGTCATTATTACCATTGTATTTTTGATTCATAAGTCAATTTAGTAATGAGCCAGGATAGCATGGTCAGTATAGCGACTGGCTATAGGCTGGACAACCACGGTATAGGAGTTTGAGTCCCAGAGGGTGTAAGAATTTTCAATTCTCCATGTCGTCCAGACCATCTCTGTGGCCCACCCAGCCTCCTCTCCAATGGGTACCAGGTGCTCTTTCCCCAGGAGTAAAGCTCCCAGGGCATGAAGCTTACTTCCGACTAGTGCTGAGGTCAAGAAAACATGGGTCTATACATCCATTCTCTCATGTTTTCATGGTGTAGTGTTTAATTAGTTAAGCACAGGGACAAATTTACCTTTTAAGTCAGTTTAGTAAACAGTCTGATACAACTGTATATTTTAATCTATTTAATAGGATGTTTGCCATGTTTACTGTGCTTACTTTATGTTCACAGGTAACTAACTCATGTTTGTACTTTATGTTTACAGGTAACCAACTCCCATGAAGAAGGAGTTTACTGTCTTCCTCATGCAATAGAACTTCTGACAGAGAAGAGGCATCATCTCAAGTACTGCAAACTCATGTACACATATGATCAGGTAATATTCTCCAACAGAGGATGCTTTGTTTTCTCTCACTAGCAATCTCATATGTTGACTTAAGTTCTATGATATTCCTCAGTTTCTCCATGAAAATTATACATTTATGCCTTTCAATAGGCATCTTCATCTTTTTCTCACATCACTATCTGTGACAGTCATCAAAATATTGTCTCCAAACATTGCAGTGTAATGACTGGCCTCTTGATTCATCTGTAGTAGGTCAGGTTTGAATTTCAACCTGGAAACTGACTATAATGACTGAAAATATTTGTTTTTTTCTCAGTCCCATCAGGCAAATGCTGGAATAGTACCTTTGGATATAGTAGAATTGCTTGCTTGCTTGCTTGCTTACATAGCTGGAAAATTGTCAGCCTAGGAATCAGAATATTTTTCAATGATCATGCGGTTCTTCAATCAGTAGATTAAACTTTTGTGAAAATTCTTATCAGTGTTACATAATCGTGCATTCGTGCATTGACATACATACACGGTGTGTCTAGGATCTGTTGGGACTTTTTTTTTCCTGCAGTACCAGCTGTTGGCAAGTTGTGGCGTTAAGATTCTTGACATTTCAGCTGTGGCTGTATATAATTTCAAAGCGCAAGCATCACTGAATCATGTGTTCTGACCTTGAATGTAACAGTACTGTTCTGATGCTCGTCGGAAAATGGCAGTTGAACAGAGAGCCAACATCAAATTTTGTTTGAAGTTAGGCAAAACAGCCAGAGAAGCATACAAAATGATGAAAAGTGTGTATGGTAGTGATTGTTTGAGTCGCTCGAACATTTTTCAATGGTATGCTGTATTTCGTGATGGCAGGGAGGACATTTAAGATGCTCTACATGCATCAAAGCCAAGAACAAGTCGCACTGAAGAAAATGTGAAAAAAGTGACCGAAATCCTTGCATCAGACAGATGTGTTTCCATGATTTATTTAATCCGTCTTGCAGTGCATACATTCATTTATCTCCTTCTTTCCCTCGCACTACATGTTTCGGCATAATAATGCCATCTTCAGGTGCTTACTTGTCCACGTCAAACCAGTTCATTGCATGCCATGTNTGAAGGAGTGCTCCAACAAAGGAGAATGGGCGTGACTGACGTAGTGAGGGGCGACGTAGTGATGTGGTATCCTGAACAATTTTAATACTTTTAACGTTTGACAATGTATATGATAGATACATATTTTAGTTATTTTAATGTGTGAACATGGCATGCAATGAACTGGTTTGACGTGGACAAGTAAGCACCTGAAGATGGCATTATTATGCCGAAACATGTAGTGCGAGGGAAAGAAGGAGATAAATGAATGTATGCACTGCAAGACGGATTAAATAAATCATGGACTTAAATCAGTGCAACAGGACGCTAAAATATAACAGATGTGTTTCTGCAAAACTCATCAAGAAGCTTTTGAGAATACCAAAAGTACTGTGCATCAAATTTTGACTGAGGATTTGGGCAGACGGAAGGTCTGTGCACAGTTTGTACCACACGTGCTGTCAGGCGATGAAAAATATGCCAGAGTGGAACACGGCAAAGACCTGTTACGGTCGGCCCAAAGTGATACAAAATTTACAAAATCGATTGTTACTGGTGACGAGACATGCTGTTCTCAATATGAGCCTCTCACAAAGCGGCAGAGTGCAGCGTGGTTGAGCCCAAAGAAGCCGAAACCAAAGAAAGTGGGCATGCAAAAGAGTCGAGTAAAGACACTGCTAACTGTTTTCTTCGATTCCAAAGGAATCATTCACAAGGAATTTCTGCCAGAAAGTCAAATAGTGAATTCTGATTATTATTTCGGAGTCCTCAATCGTTTGTGGGCGAGAATTCTTTGAATTCCACCTGAATATCAAGAGCAAGGTTCCTGGTCGCTCTTCCACGACAATGCCCCACCCCACAAATTGAAGATCGTGCGTGATATTTGGCCAGAAAAATGATCACAGTCCTTGATCATCCTCCATATTCACCAGATTTGGCTGCATCAGATTTTTGGTTGTTCCCAAAAGTTAAGTTGGCGATGAAAGGAGACCGTCATGACACCATCCAGGATATCCAAATCCGCAGTTTTAAATGTGATTCCACAAAAGGAGTACAGTGACCGTTTTCAAAAACTCTTCAATCGATTCCAGATATGTATCAATTCAGAAGGAGACTATTTTGAATAAAAAGAGTGAAATTTTGAAAATAATTCACAGCTTGTATTTTTAATGAACACAGTCCTAACAGAACCTGGACACACTGTGTATAAAGTAAAACAGAATGTCAGGAATGTCTTTTAATCATATTAATTACCTGCAGTCTTTGTCCAGCAATATCTGATTCAAATTCAGACGTTATTGAAGATGGCAATTCACTTATTTTCAAGAAACTTGGTACGAATATATAACATTACAGAACTCCTCATCAGTCACCAGCAATATCAGAAAACTTGACAGGGTGGAATAACGCCTGTGCCATTCAGTACTAAATTTTTAAATTTGGTATAGTGATTTTGAAAAATATTCAACCTTTAAAAAATGTGGGTAGCTTACAGCTACTACTGAATGAATGAATGAAGACACAGAGAAAATGAAATAACTGCTATAGCCATTTAAGAGAAGAACAAAATGCCCAGGAAAATGTTTGAACTTAACACAGGTGAAGGAAATGGGTAATTTAGGCTACTACATAACAGTAAACTTTGTTGTCTATGCATGTCAGCTAACATTGTTAAGATGATGATATCAAAGAGAAAACAATGGGCTGAATGTTTTGTTCAGTTCAGAAGAGAAGAAATTCTACTTCAAAACAGAATGAGATGGGAAGATGATTGAATTTAGAGAGACTGGTTCTGTGTACTAGAAGTGGATGGTGCTGGTACAAAGTTTTGTGCAGTGGCATGGAAAATGGAAGAAGCAGCCATTGTGGCACAATAAATGGTGATGCAACAGTGGAACACACCACACTGTGCAACATAACCAATTTAAGTACCACTGGGAATGGTGTTTTCTATGCATTCTGTGCCAATAGCTACATCATGCAATGGTAGAGGAATTGTGGGAAGCAGTGTTCTCTGTGGGTCTCTGCAGAGGCTATATCTGAAGAACTGAAACACAGAAAAATACCCGTGTGGAGGCAGTGTCAAATACCTTCACCATGGCCCTGCGAGTCGTAGGAGGCGACAAAGAAGGAAGTCTCAAATCTGAGAATAAAATATGTTCATGAGTCCCAAGGGGCTTGGACCCGAGAAAAATGGTGCTGGCAAGGGCCAGCAGCATGTATAAAAGACAGACCTGTCCTCTTGTCAGAGAGGGCCCCCCCACAAAAACAAGACCGTAACTGTCAAACAGACTAAACACCAAGCCTTACTGACTGACTGACTGACTGACTGTCAGTTGCAATGTGACTTTGACTTTGAGCTAAGTCAGTTGCAAGTAGAGAGTAGGCAGGTAGCAGTTAAGCAACAAACCTATCAGAGGTCATCACGGACAGTCACTCCTGGTGGAGGCGTGTGAGGCAAAGGAGCCTCCATTGTTGTAAGTCACTGTGTAGCTTGTTGTGAGATAAGCACCAGTCGGCGAGCACATGTGTCCAGAACACAAGCTGAGACACCTAAGCCAATGGGGCAAGGCCACGCCATAGCCCAAGCAGTTAGTCACCGGCTTCCCACCGCGGCGGCCTGGGTTCGATCTTGGGTCTGGTCAAGTGGGATTTGTGGTGTACAAAGTGGCACTAGGGCGGGTTCTCTCCAAGTACTTCAGTTTCCCCTGCCAATTTTCGTTCCACCAAATTCACCATCATAATCACCCAGGCAGGCTGCAATAGACCAATCAGTGGCCTTCATGCCAAGTGGACCCAGTTTGACTGCACCCCCCACTAAGCAAATTAAAAAAAAAAAGCCAATGGGGCATGTTACCAGGCAACAACCAGTTTAGACACAGCAGACTGAGGAGACTTAGTGCATGCTGTAGTGAATTGCAGAGTGTGTGAATTAGCAATAACACTGTAGTTACTTACATTTACAATCTGTAAATGTTCGGTAAATCCAGTTACCAATCCAAACCCAATTTGTAGTAACCCTTATCACATGGCAGTGTTATGGGTGTTAGTTATTCAGTNTTTTTTTTTTTTGCAGGCGGAATTGAATGAGCTGATTCAGAAGCTGCGAGAAAGGATTGAAGCAAAAAGTCAGAGGAAGTCACAAGGGAAGCACACCGCTATTTCACATAAACCATGACCACAAACATACATTCATTAAGGGGTGAGTAGTGATTTGAAGAACCTGAAATGTAGCTACTATCACTGCCACTAGAAATAACATTGATGTATAAATGAATTTTTAATCATATTGTAAGCAAGAATTGAATATGTGATGCTTTTGTACCTTATTTTGACCTAGAGTTTATTTAAGAAAATGTAAGTAAAAAAGGAAGCAATACTAGAATAAAATGATTTGCAATATAATGTAGTAAATGCTACCAGGTGTTGTAGATAGGGATGTTTATTTTCATACAGACTTTTGATTTTGTGCTTCTTTTTTGTACAAGAACTGTTTTAGGAATGAAACATATTAACAGTATATCCATATTGTGTAAATTAAGAATTCTGGGGAATACATTCAGAGATTTAATTCAGAAATACTGAAATAGGTCTTGACAAATTCTCTGTAGTTCTAGGTACCACCTCTAGAAATGATTATTATTGTTCAGTGGCTATGAATTGCGCATTGTTTTTATATAAATTTCATACTAGGACAGACACATATTTTAGTAATTTTCTGTGCAAACCCTGTACTATTTATCAGACTGTGATATGTAATAAAATTCAACAGGCTTTGCCTTCATTAGAGACACTCAGATGCATGTACAAAGCATCAGTCAGTTTGTGGTTTGAGCAAGATTTTTACAATAACCACTCATAAATGAAGTGTCCATAATATACATGTGTGTTGGCTGTGTTCAATTTTAGGTCATAAAATTATATGAATCACTGTGTTCTTTGCTTTTCTGCCTACTGATGATATACTTCGAACAGAGAGGCTTCTGGTTATGCCATCAGCTGAAGTTACAGTTAAAATGATAGTCTTGCACTTGTTGTATGTCTATAACATTTTCATAAGGGTATATCATACCTCAAGTAGGCAATCTTATGGAAGAAAAGATGTATGTGCTTTGTAAGATCTTCAGTAGAGTGTTTCTAGTTCCCACAGTATGTTAAAAATAGAATATTGTAACTTTCTAATGATGACATAATGATCTATGTCATTATACTTATATGATGATGATGCACCCTCCGGATGCAGGTATACCTTTTACATATTTGTATTAAATAACTAATTAACCTTGTGCAGCAGAGTCCTTCATGAGAAGCGACAGTCACCAAAATGTCAAGAAATTCCATACATTTTGCAGAACCAAAGGTTCACTGCCACTTACACAGAGGCCTGCCCTAAATTTATATGGATGTAGAAAAATTTTAGAACAATACTCCAACATATGCTAGGTGCTATGGTGAAAATGTTCAGCAGTGTGGTTACCCGGAACATGAGATTTGTTGAGCCCTGAATGAAATACAAGTTAAAGTTGGAACTTGTTAAGAAAAACGACCACTCTTCATTGTCTGTGGCCATTTACCATAGGCATTCTTGTGTGATATTAATTTTGTAATATTTATTGTACAAAGTCAAGCTCCCAATTACGTGCATGAATGGCAAAAATGGACACTGTGGATGAGGTAGAACTTACAGAACTCAGAAATGTTACACATATGATTGTGCCTGTGGTCAGTAAGACAAGTGTAGGACTTTAATTTTCAGAAATATATTATAAAAGCAACAAAGTTAAGTTTATAAAATTTTAATATTCATAGTGCCATTTTAATATAATAACACTAAAACTGACTCCAGATGATTCACACATCACAGGATCCTCATGCAGCTAATTGAGGTTGTCTACATTACATTAAGTAAAAACTGTGTTAGTAACTCAAGCAAGTTGTTAGTATGCACGAGTTTCTTTAAGCATTGTATTGAGTATTGAGTCTTTATATCTGCAGGGCTAACTAACTAACTAACTCATAGAACAGGAGAAGTTGATAATTGCTTAATTATTTAAGAAATCCCCCACCTTTTATGAAACCCGAAGTTCATTATCATGTTCAAAAAAGTCTGCTGTTGAACCCTATGCTGAACTCTTTAAATCCAGTCCACATCCTCACATCCTGCTTCCTTAGAATAAATTTTAATATTACCCTACCATTTGTGTCCACATGTCTCAAGTAGTTTCTTAAAGTTTTAGATCAAGTTTATGTGCATTTCTCATAAACTTTATTACTTTTTGTTTAATTCCAGGAGGATTATTGTTGTTTAGGTATGCCCTCTTTCAAGGCTTCTTGTGAGTGCACATGTAATTTTCAAATTACTTTGTACTTTTATTTTGTGATTACAAGAGGAATTACTTATGAAAGAGGGGTGTTGGATATGATGCCAAGCAATATTCTCAGAGTTCAAACATCTGGGAACAACAGTAACAAATCAAAACTGCAGTCACAGAGATATCAAGGGCAGATTAATGTTGGGGAATGCTTGCTATCATTCATTTCAAAATTTTTGTCTTTGCATCTGTCATCAAAATATTAAATATTAAAATATACAAAACTGTAATTTTGCTTGCTTTTTATGGATGTGAAACTTAGTTCTTACATTAAATGCAGAAAATATGTTTAACCTTTATGAGCCGAAAGACACTGTATGGGGACCTTTAAAGTAAAGCCGAGTGGCCGAACGACACCGTATGGTGACTCGCAGTCCACGCGTGCGCACAGTGTTTTAAAATCTAATTTTAAGATAGAAATTCTTGTTCTACTTACATTATTTTTGGACACCAACTTTATAAGTAGACTGTCTTCCCTCCTGCATCATCTAACTGAATGTTGCATGTAACTGAATGAAGAGTCCAACGTCGCAATTCATGCACTTTGTCCGTATGTAACTGTTTTCCACGCAAAGCGCACACACACGACATCAGTCTCTATTAGCAGAAGTAGGCCAGTGATGGCGAGTGGTCTTCTCTATTCGTAACGCTTATAAAACATCGCAATTTCAACTATGCACCATGGCCCCATTTTGCATGGAAGAAGCCGAAATTGAGAGGCCGCTCGTAAATCTCACCATTCAGAATGCGGTACAGTCGATTCTGAAGGGACGAGAACGCAAGGGGCATTGAGGGGAAATTCCAAGAACAGTACCTCTGTGTATTTAGTCTGACATATAAACAGACAGAGTTTCATAAGGACAAAGTAGGATAAGAACTCCCCACACTCGTGTATACAGTAAGCCAACTTGACTGGAGAATGTGCACTGGAAACATAAACTTCCTCTCCTATTGCCAGATAAAATATAGACAGTGTGTCAGCTGCATGCATTTATACTGCAGAAACGTTTTGTGCAGAAGCTCTATGCATTTTTGTGGACAGATGCTCAAAATTGGGGAAAATTTTTTTTGGAATCAATGTAACAATTTTTACAGATTCTAAAATCTGTAAATTACAATAGGTGATTCTATATTCTTTCTAGATAAAAGTAGCGTTTATTTGGTTTGTTTATCACAAAAATTGTAGAAATCACAGCGTTTTGAATAACATGATTACAATTTTTATTACTCTACAATGGCGGGCATTTAAATTAACTCTGGCCCGCGGCCATTACCGGAATTTAAATGGCCCGGCTGATAAAGGTTAAGATAAAAGCACTTATTAAAGCAGAAATTCGGAAAAGTACCCAATAAAACCCAAGAATACTGGTATATTTAACATAACTAAATTGACAAAGCATAAAAGATGGTCAATAAAGCAAACTACTTGTTACTGGCTGTACTCAGTACATCAAATTGTAATCCCTTAAATGGGCCATTAAGAAATGGGATGGGAGGATGAAGACTGGATTTAGCTGGCTCAGGATATGGACCAGTGGTACACTCTTGTGGACATGGTAATGAACCTTCAGGTTCTATAAAAGGCAGAGAATTTCTTGAATAACCAAGCATCTTATTGGCTTTTCAAGGAAGACTCAGCTCCATGTAGTTATGTGGTTGGTTGACTGGTTGGTCAGTTCATTCTGTAGAAGAGCTATTCAGTTTGTATGTGAATAATGCTGTATTGGACAGCAAAGTATATATATTTGATATTATGGGTATTTGATGAAATACACAGGACAGAGTACATCAATTTCAGATACCTATTTAAAAATCCAGTGAAGATAATATTTATACAGTTAGGTTTGCTGGCAGAAGAAATTAACCTAAATAAGCTTTAATTGAGAAGTACAGTAATAGTGTGATTTTTATTATTGTAATAATAATAATGTATATTTTAGCTAATATCTCCACTTGATATCCTGTAGGGTACATTAATTCTGTAATATATATCGCTGTAGCATACCGTAGTTTCTTTCTTCGGGTCATTTGAAGAGTCTCTTGTTATCATTTTCATGGGCAAGATCATAATGTGAGGAGTACTGACTGTACTGCTATTATTACTGCTTGAAGGTGTGAGACCTACAACAATCAGCCTTATGTCATTTTGAAACACAGTTTATTTCTGGTGCAGCCACAAGGGTTGCCTGGAAAATGCAGTACATTATAACTGAAACTTAACTATGAATTTACATATAGATTCATCACCGTCATCACTCAGTGGGGTGGGCTTTCCTCCTTCAGTCTTCTCCATTTTTATTGCCTCAAATTATTATATGCATCTTGTAGCTCTTATGCTGTCACCTTTTATTGGGCTGTTTAGACTGTTCTGACTCCAAATTTTTAAGGTTTTGTTTTAAAACCCTTCAAAATTCAGTCATGAAACGTAATAACATTGCTTCATTTTAAAATGTATAATACATATGTAAGTATAGAATTGGTCTCCTCATAACATTTGTGTATAGCCTGGGTCTCCCCTTCGTGAGAGTTGGTGTAAAATATTCTTTTGATATATGGTTTTCTGTCCTTCCTAAGTGTTGCAAACACCCCATATGATATTATCTTACTTTCATATTTAAATAGGCTCTTTTCAGTTCTTTTTCAATATTAACACTAGGCTTATAGATTAAGCCATCAGAATTCAGCCACTGCTCTCACAAAATGCATCTCTGCTGCTGCTTCTCTGTCTTTTATCCTGACATATTTATGTATATTTCTAATTATTTTTGTTATGTGTCTGTTTACCTTCACTTTCCTCAGATTAGATATGTAACATTGTTGCAGAGAAACCCAGAGCTCCATTTCCTTGAAGGTGTTGTAATTAATACATTTAGAATGTAATATATAATATATTAAGAAGTGGCAGTGCCAACCGTATAATATGAATTGAGGACAGAGAAATCTGAACCTCTGTTCAAAATACAAGGGAAGAAATGAGCTGATGAGGTGGTTATGATAAAGAAGGGATATCCAGTGCAGAAACAGAGACATTGTGGAGAGTGACAACTCTTCAGATTTGTATGAGACTTGGTTGAAAATCAGTAGCAGATATTCCTGATGTGGAGGTCCTTCAGTGAGGGAATGTCAAAGCACTGTACTGCCACCAATTTGGCATGCCATGTGTGTGATCGCACAAAGCTTGTATTCTCTCCAAATTCAGTTCCCATTGGCCAAATATATTAGCGTTTCCTCTTGAACAGAACTCCTAACAGTAGCCATGTATGTATGTATTTCACCTCAGGATTTATATAGCAAGATTTCAAAACAGTTTTATGGCAAAAAGGTACATCTTGAACCAGTCATTTAAAAGTGGAGTGCTGTCTATTGGGATATGATGCCATGTAGCCCAATAGAACTTTACTGATGTTTTTGAAGAAAACATTATCACTGTCTTCAGGTTCAAAGAATAAGCCAAGCAACACACAAGTAATCACTTAGAGATTCATACACTGGACAGCTCTTTTTTAATATTTTTAAATGATCACTGTTTCACGAGATTTTTCTTTTACACATTTTATAGTGTTCTCATAAGACAAGACAATCAGGTGCATAAAAAGCAAAATTTGTTTCATTTCACTGAGTGCATTATCATTCATTTGAGTCATGCACAGAAATCCAGAAGGTGTACTACTCTGGAGGCAGTAATTGTGGATTGCTGTGATACCATTGGCCATGCGGGGAAGTCAGATGTTTATGTTCCTGTTAGTACATCTGTAGTGCGAACACAGTTCCCTGATTTATGTATTGGGCCCAATTTGAAAATTTATACTTCATATATTTCTTAATAGATATATCTGATCATTCTATAGCAAAATGGCATGTTATGCAACATGACAGATGAAAATGTATCTCAATAAACTAAACAGGAAGAAAAAGGAAATTTAAAAGAGACTAATAGTTGCTTCATCTTTCTGAGTATTATGACAGCAGTTTTCCCTACACAGAAGAGGTTCACAAGATACCACTCTTGTGAACATATTAGATATGCTGTAAGATGAATGCTGTAAATGTGAACAAAATCTGCCACATACATTTAATTTTATATTGTTTTAAAGAATACACCTTGCATTGTGCATTACTGCAGTGTGGCAGACTAATTCCAGTAGGCAGACAGGGATCAAGTTTTCATTTCATGCATCCTGTTGTGTTATCATATACAATTTCTTTATTAAAACCATCACAACACAACTATATTCAGGTCAGTGCCTAATTTGGCTCTGCTACATGTTTCAGCTATTAAAAGCAATCATCAGGCAAATACACGGCTAACATATAGCCATCATCAGGCAAATACACGGCTAACATATATACACTACTGAACTGCAGTACTAGTAAAATTGGATACAATAATATTAATTATGTTAAAACACTTGGCATAAAAATACAGTAAATTAGACTATATAAAACAAAAGTTATAGTATAAAACAAGAATAAAATTCTTCAAGTGATGCTTTACATCATCGAGTCAGTCATTGTTTTTGTGATTCTGTTCTGTTCCCGCGGACAAATTGGAGTATTCTATATTTTGTGTATATATAATAAACTGTTTTGGAGTCTCATGATGTAGATGTAGTAATATTAATGTTAATTAATGTTATTAATTTAAGATGAGGCACTGACTAAATAATTAACATTAATATTACTACATCTACATCATGAGCCTCCAAAACAGTTTATTATATATACACAAAATATAGAATACTCCAATTTGTCCGTGAGAACACAACAAAATCCAAAAACAATGACTGACTCGATGATGTAAAGCATCACTCGAAGAATTTTATTCTTGTTGTATATAGTCTAATTTATTGTATTTTTATGCCAAGTGTTTTAATATAATTAATATTATTGTATCCAATTTTACTAGTACTGCAGCTCAGTAGTGTATATATTGCAACGTGTTTTTGCCACTGAAGACGCCGTTCAGATTGTTAATTGGTTTATTTAACAACCTACAAGTCTCGGCTACAATTAATTACAACAATGTTACGGGTTCACACACTTTACAAACCCTACACACACACACACACTATTCACTCTATCTTCAGTAGTCTACACGTATTCACAGTACGGTACGGGAGCTATACCAGTGTCTCTGTGTCACACACTCCCAATTACTTCTCTTGTGAGCCAAGCATCTGCTTCTCACGCTATAACTTCTAATCACACGTTCCGGTATTCTTCTTTCCGCTACAATGGCTAGATTCCAACTGTCTTCGTCGGCAGTGCAGTTCTCTTATAGACCCTCAGCCGGACAACGGGAAAACGCCTTGCTTCCTTGTTGCCTAGTCGCATGTTTACCAGCTTTGCTGGGCTTCACTGCCGGGAGTTGTTTACGGCTACGTGGCAACTGTGCCATCCCTTGTTACGTCACCGTGGGGAAAGGGGTGTTGA